TACTGTGAGCATGGCTGAGATGAAAATCACTTTCACACGGATTCTTGCAGACACGCTTGACTCTCTGGGAGAACTTCCTGTGGAGGGAACTGCATTGACCAAAGGAGATCTGTGTTTTGAGTGTGGCTCTTTTATGGACTACCATAATTCAAAAGCTGTCCCTTGGGTCATATTTATTCTCAACTCCTTCCCCCCCACCTGCAACGTTTCTGTGAGGGGAGATGTACCGAGTTTTTCCGTGTGATACAGTTTTCTGCAGTCATTCTCATTCCTAACTCCTGTGGGAACTGGCATTTTGGGTTCTGTTTCAGGGAGATCCCTCTTCACTCCTCTCCTTTTTCTTCAGCGTATCCTTTCTTCTTGGCTCCTGAAAACTGAGCACCATTGAAACACGTCTTTGCGCAAGGCAGGCCACAGGGCACTGCATGGCAATTCTCCCATTCTGAAGTCTTCACCTTCTACCCACGTTGCCTGCTACCAAGTTGAGGCTCTAATTTTTAATCATTGCCTCCCGTTCCACAGCCGGCCAGCAGTAGAGCTGGCATTTACAGCTGGGTTTTGTGCCTTTTCGAACCCCTGATTTTAGCTGTGCCGGGGTGACATATGCACACGGCCCCTCCTTCCTGTCCACAGGGAGCTCCTGTCATTTCCAGTCTGTACCTGTAGGGAAAGCAGCCTCTTAACTCCTCGAGTCAATCCTTGTGCGTATTGCGCCACGGCGCGACGTCTCAGTTTTGGGGTGATCTGGCCGCAGTTGCCAGGTGATATCCGTGGCTGGAGTGTGGTTTCCCTTCCAGCCTGTACTGCGGCATGGGGATCCCCCCATTAACATTTGTGTGCAAAGTGGGTCGCTATTGCCAGTCTGGGTTGGCCAGTTTTCCACCCCTGCGGACACTCCGGACAGTCCACTGAAATGGAAAAGGTTTGTTTGAGACCCACTTTGGGGACTTCGGTCCATGAGTGGTTGACTTCGTGGCTGTGGGGCCCATGGCCTGACGCTCATCACGGCGGGAGCATGTGGCAGATGAAGCCCCATCCCCGTCCCCCGCCCCCCCCCGTCCCCTTGTGGGCACACCCCTGTGACGCAGAACTTCTAACAGCTCCTCCTGCTGAAGGCCCTGCCACCTCTCAGTATCACCAAGCAGAGGACCAAGCAAGCAGCTGACGCCTGGGCTTCTGGGAGACACTGCAGGTCACAAATGCCACGGCTTTCGGCATTGATTCTAAAGTGCGGAGAAATGGCACTGGTGGATACCGTGGCCTGGCACTGTTGTTAGGCACCCCTGCCTCCGGTGACAGGAGTGCCGATTTCCAGGGACTGTAGCTCCTGTGTCCTAGGTTAGAGGCAATGCTGGATGTGAACTTCTTCCTAACTAGTGACTCAAACAACCATGGATTCAGAAATTCCTGGTGGATGGTGGTGTGTGTTGTGTGTCTTGCTTTAGTATCTAGCATTACAGTCTTTGTAGGCAGTTTTGTTTTGCTTTTTAACATTTATATATTTGGGGCTGGAGAGATGGCTCAGCGGTTAAGAGCACTGTTTCTTCCAGAGGTCCTGAGTTCAGTTCCCGGCAACCACACGGTGGCTCACAACCACCTTGAGTGAGATCTGGTGCCCTCTGCTGGTATGCAGGCAGAACACTGTATACATAATAAATAAATAAAATATTTTTTAAAAATTATTTATTTATTCAGGCCAGAAGAGGGCATCAGATCTCATTACAGATGGTTGTGAGCCATCATGTGGTTGCTGGAAATTGAATTCAGGACCTTTGGAAGAGCAGCCAGTGCTCTTAACCACTTTAACCACTGAGCCATCTCTCCAGCCCTGTAGGTAGTTGTGTGTGTGTGTGTGTGTGTGTGTGTGTGTGTAGAATAATAAACCAGGAACTGGTACTTCTGGTTGCTTTATAAAACAAGCAAACAACCCCCCCAAGAAAAAACAAACAACAACAAAAAAAAACCCACTGACGTTCTAGATAAACTGTCCTAATTAAAAAACCCACAATTTTTGCTTCTGAAAACATTGCTTAGCTCCAGAGGAAAATCTCGTTTAGGGTAGGAAGAGCAGACTACCCTAGGATGGTCCTGTAGACAGGATTATGACAACATTTCCCAACCCTTGTTAGTTCCCGGCTCTGTGTCGTCAGGGGCGGCTTGTGATGCGTTGGCTGTGGCGTGGTCCTGCTGCTCGCTTGGAGACTTAACTTCCCCTGGCATCTCTGCATCTTAGAGTGAATTCTCAGCTGAAGGGGACTTCTTCCCATTACACACTCAGCCCATGTTTAATGAATGTTTGCATCACACACCGGTTTGGGAATCAGTCCACGCTTACTCTGAAGGGACACAGGTGGGCCATCCTGGTCTGCCCGGCCACTGGCAGATAACGGTGAGCTTGGGTTTCTATGAGGTAACACTCCCTAAGCCTTGAGTGGAGGAAGTTCCCAAAATATGGGCTCTTTGATAAAACCTCCGCATCCGTTTTAAATGGCATTTTTAAAAGCGCCCGGACTCAAAATTGGCACTTTAAGAGAGCACTAAGTGTTGTGCTGGGGCGCTTTCCCGCCTTGTGATGTGGCTGAGCGAGGAAGCTTAGTCAGGTCAGGATGACCTGACAGGCTCTATTGTTCTTGGAAATTACCTGGTAGAATGGCCTCTTTATCCTGAGAATCGTGGGCATCCCAGGGACACGTGTAATTTCCCACTTTAATGTTTACCTAATGACGTTATGGAAGGTTTCCTGGTTTCCTTTCCTCTTACAGAAGTTTCTAAGTTTGTCCCCGGCTGTGGTTCTATGGCCAAAGCAGACATAAAAAGCTGACAAAAGAGCGTCGCAAGAGTTAAATATACAGGCAGAAAACTTCCGAGTGACATTGACTGTCCTGTGTCGTCACCTCTCATGGTTGGCTGCATGTCAACACAGTCATGTTTTATCTGTTTACAGAAAAGGATTATAGCAAGTCTAAGGAAAGTTCTTCAATAGCACAGGGAGGGAAGCCATTCCCAATGAATTGAAGGATTTAACAGTGAAAACTGAAGTTCCATAGAGAGGACTCTGTTTCAGAACCGCAAAGGAAAACGCCCAACCTACATTGTGACCTGCTGCCCCTGACACATCAGCCCCTACAATTGCCTTGAGCTAATTCCTTCAAACTCTCTTAACATGTGCCTTGGTGATGACGATGTTTGCCTGGGGATCCCTGACAGACGCCCCCCTCAGAGGTGAGAATTATTTCACAGGGTCTCAGCCCCATTCAACAATGGACGCTGGGACATGGGTCATGTTTTATGTATCTTTGTCACCTCCGATTCCAGCAGTGTTTTCCCAGACTTGACGGCTGCTGAGCTATTGATGAACAGACTGAGCCCCCAATGACTACGCGCCCATCAGCAGTTAAGCGAAGCCGGGTGAGGATGATGGACAGCCAGAAAAAAACAAGAGGAGCCCATACAGAGCGGAGCTGGGCAGCCGGCTGTTTGATGTCTACGGAAGCCAGGGGCCTCGTGAGTGAAAGAGAGGTAAGTTCAAGAGCTTCAAGTTTAACACCAATAGCAACCAGAGGAGGGAAAAACAAACAAACTCCACTCCACTCCTGGTCACGTGCCCGTGAGTATTTTTGTTACAGCTTTGGGGATCAGAGATGCTTATCCCTTTGTTCTCTAACATGAGTCTTGGGCATAGAACCCAAGAGCAGAAATCCAGAGGGTTCAGCATCGAAATGATCTGCCTTTCATTGAGGACAGCCCAAGGTGACCTGGGCCCTGAGCCCTGGTTAGTCATTGCAGTGGTCCAGAAGTTGGGGGAGGGACCAGAGCCAGGATTACAGAGAGATCCGTACAGAACCGCACCTAGTCCTGCAACACCTTACACCTGGCGGTTAACTCAAGCGTGGCTGCTTCTGTCCTCAGAAGAGACTGGCCTACAGCATTTGGTCTGTGTGTGTTAGCCCCTGTTCGCAAGGCAAATGTGCAAACATCTCAAGTCCTCCGTGCAAGCATCATGCCTTTATCTCTTTGCATAAAAAAGGACTCTCCATTTTAGGAAGCACAAAATAAAATAAAACAAACAAACAAAAAAAACCAACCCACTATCCTAAGGATCCAAGACGTTTTTGTCTTTCTGAACTTTGTTAAAATGTTATTTTATAGGCTGGTTCAGCAGTAGGATACTAGTGGCTGAGCGTAGGCCAGGCTAATAGCTGAAACGCTCTGGTGATGGCACACGCATCAAGCCATCAGTAGCCACATCCCCCCCAGCTGCATGGACAGTGATTTCTGCTCACTGCTTCTCGGGGGTCCATGTACAGAGTGCAAACGGTTGTCCTACAGAACAAATGAAACGTGACAGTTGCCCACATAATGCAACAAGAAACAGGGTGATATGCTCATGCGCAGAAAACAAAAACAGGAGTGACCAAGCCTATCTATCTCCTTGGTCATACACTGGTGTGAGATTTCTAGACGACCATCCTTTTGTTTAGTCTAAAGGAACTCCAGCATGGAACAGGCCTCCTAAGCAGCCACAAGAAATGGGAGCTACAAGAAATGAGGCATCATCCGCAAATGAAGATGGACACAGGCTTCAGTGCCCTACAGAATTCACTCCGTCACGACACGACACCAAAAGCCACAGCAGACCTTTCCTGGTGTGTTAAACTTGTGAACTTACAACCAGGAAGCATTTAATGGGTGACTGTACTGAATGCCACAGACCCAGGATAATGTCGCTGGCCTCCGGAAACATGGCTGGTGACCAGCGTGCAGTGAGTGTGCTAGCATTTTCTGAAATGTTAGGAAAACTGACGGACAGCTTTCCCAGGTGTTGCTCATTTTTGCCCTTCCCAGGGGCCTAGAGACTGAGATGGTATTAGTTTTAAAAGGATGTTTTTTTCATCCCGGAAAGTCTTCAGACTCCACGACAACCATGGCCGATCGATCAGAGGACTGGTGAACCTTCAATAAAGCTAGGTAGGCTGGGAAGCCCGTGGAGACCAATAGTCTTACTTTGAATTAGCACATTTTATTCAAAGGCTTGAGGTGAATGAAGAAAGAAGTTCTGAAATGAAGATGTGTGTGGCCCCGTCCATAACTATTATCCCAGCACTTGGGAGACTGAGACAGACAGGTCACCGTGAGTTCAAGGCCAGTGCGGACTACAGAGCAAGATCCTGCTCAAAAACAAAACAACAGTGAAACACCAAACCAAACAGAGAAAGCAAAGAGAGAGAAGCAGGAAGTTTTGAGATGCATGCCAGCACATGAGACGACGCCCTGCTGTCCGCTATGATGTCACTTCCTGGTGTCTGCTCCCTACAGTCACGATTTTAGTGCATGAAACTCCGTGGCATGAATACTGATTAAAGGCGACATAAGAAAGACTTGGGGAAGAAGGCGTCACATCGACGCAGGGTGTCCCGGAAGGAGCTGGTCACCGTAAGAGAAGAATCATTTTCCCCGTCTTCCCACTGCGGTGGATGATGTCTTCATGGGCCTGGACTGCCTTCTCCAGTGGATACTCAGAACCTATCACCGGTTTCACCCAACCCTTCTCCATTCCTGCTTGGAGGATGCCTGCGAACTGCTGAAATTCCTCCTAGGGGAAAGAGATAAAAAGTTTTAAAGAGTGTCTTTTGTGTTGTTGTTTCTCAGCAGTAGACGACCACGTGACTCATGTCCTGGGGGGTATGGAATAGTAAGGAACTTCGATATCTGAGAGTCACTCCAGAAAGGTCCTCTTGCAAATGTGCAGAATTCAATTTTCCCAGGACTACCTTTTAATTCTCTGTCAACTGCACACGCCTGGGACAGTGTTAGTATATGAGATGCTGTCTTAAAGGTGTTTCACATACAATCGGCATGTCCTCTCCCAAACAACGAGTGGAATTATGCTGCCACTCTCCCAGACCATCTAGTGACTGACTGGTATCTACCTCTGAGTCGGGTGACGTCTGCTTTGACTGTCAATCTGCTGACTGGACAGAACCCCCAGAGCTTCCGACAGCAGCATCAGCACCGCCCCTTCCCTCCCTACCTTGGTGGATGAAAAGAGAGAAACTCCAATGATGCTCGTCTCCTTTCCCATGGTGTCCCGCGGGTTCATTTCAATAGAACCTCTACAGCCCACAACCTGTTGTGAAAACAGCGGGGGAGTGAGGGTTACTGGGACACGGGGTGGAAAGGCAGGAGGCCAGAGAGAGACCAAGGACGGTACTCACGATCACCCGTCCTCCACGGGACAGAAGCTTCAAGTCGTTGTTCAGGTTTACGTTGGCCAGCATCTCGACAACCACGTCGACCCCCTTGTCACCGACAGATTGCTGCATAAAGAAAGGAGCGAGATAAATGTGGGAACTGTAAAGTCGTGTCTCCAGCAGCATGTTTCACAGAATGTGTTTCGGGTGGCATGCAAATGCTATGTGTTTAAGACTAGCAATGCACGCATTAAAGTGATCGATTACAAGGCAATGATGCTGTGCCAGGCAAGCAGCCACGCTCTGTGGTGTGAAGACTGAGAGGCACCAGATAAATTGCCACAGCAAGATACAACCTGCATGTATTCTCTGCGTGGGTGCTGGTCAACCTGAATATAAAACACTTTTCCTTACTTAAAAATTTCCTATCATTAAAAATGTTCACAGAGAGTAAACAACAAATCAAAAGTTTCCAAACTTGAGGAGTTCCCATAGGTGCTTCCAGGGACACACTCATGCGCGTGTGCGTATGTGCGTGTGTGCATGCGTGCATGTGTGTGCATGCATGCGCACGTGTGTGTGTGTGCGTGTGTACATGCATGCATGCGTGTGTATGAGTAGGTACCTGTGTGTGGATGGGGGCTGTGGGTATGTACATGTGTGTGGATGGGGCTGTGGGTATGTACATGTGTGTGGATGGGGGCTGTGGGTATGTACATGTGTGTGGATGAGGCTATGGGTATGTATATTGTGTGTGGATGAGGGCTGTGGGTATGTACATGTGTGTGGATGGGGGCTGTGGGTATGTACATGTGTGTAGATGGGGCTGTGGGTATGTACATGTGTGTGGATGGGGGCTGTGGGTATGTACATGTGTGTGGATGGGGGCTGTGGGTATGTACATGTGTGTGGATGAGGGCTGTGGGTATGTACATGCGTGTGGATGGGGCTGTGGGTATGTACATGTGTGTGGATGGGGGCTGTGGGTATGTACATGTGTGTGGATGGGGGCTGTGGGTATGCACATGTGTGTGGATGGGGCTGTGGGTATGTACATGTGTGTGGATGGGGGCTGTGGGTATGTACATGTGTGTGGATGGGGCTGTGGGTATGTACATGTGTGTGGATGGGGGCTGTGGGTATGTACATGTGTGTAGATGGGGGCTGTGGGTATGTATATTGTGTGTGGATGAGGGCTGTGGGTATGTACATGTGTGTGGATGGGGGCTGTGGGTATGTACATGTGTGTAGATGGGGCTGTGGGTATGTACATGTGTGTGGATGGGGGCTGTGGGTATGTACATGTGTGTGGATGGGGGCTGTGGGTATGCACATGTGTGTGGATGGGGCTGTGGGTATGTACATGTGTGTGGATGGGGGCTGTGGGTATGTACATGTGTGTGGATGGGGCTGTGGGTATGTACATGTGTGTGGATGGGGGCTGTGGGTATGTACATGTGTGTGGATGAGGCTGTGGGTATGTATATTGTGTGTGGATGAGGGCTGTGGGTATGTACATGTGTGTGGATGGGGGCTGTGGGTATGTACATGTGTGTAGATGGGGCTGTGGGTATGTACATGTGTGTGGATGAGGGCTGTGGGTATGTACATGTGTGTGGATGGGGGCTGTGGGTATGTACATGTGTGTGGATGAGGGCTGTGGGTATGTACATGTGTGTAGATGGGGCTGTGGGTATGTACATGTGTGTGGATGGGGCTGTGGGTATGTATATTGTGTGTGGATGAGGGCTGTGGGTATGTACATGTGTGTAGATGGGGCTGTGGGTATGTACATGTGTGTGGATGAGGCTGTGGGTATGTATATTGTGTGTGGATGAGGGCTGTGGGTATGTACATGTGTGTAGATGGGGCTGTGGGTATGTACATGTGTGTGGATGGGGCTGTGGGTATGTAAATGTGTGTGGATGGGGGCTGTGGGTATGTACATGTATGTGGATGGGGGCTGTGGGTATGAACATGTGTGTGGATGGGGCTGTGGGTATGTACATGTGTGTGGATGAGGGCTGTGGGTATGTACATGTATGTGGATGGGGGCTGTGGGTATGTACATGTGTGTGGATGGGGCTGTGGGTATGTACATGTGTGTGGATGAGGGCTGTGGGTATGTACATGTGTGTGGATGAGGCTGTGGGTATGTATATTGTGTGTGGATGAGGGCTATGGGTATGTACATGTGTGTGGATGAGGCTGTGGGTATGTATATTGTGTGTGGATGGGGGCTGTGGGTATGTATATGTGGATGGGGCTGTGGGTATGTACATGTGTGTGGATGGGGGCTGTGGGTATGTACATGTGTGTGGATGAGGCTGTGGGTATGTACATGTGTGTGGATGAGACTGTGGGTATGTACATGTGTGGATGAGGGCTGTGGGTATGTACATGTGTGTAGATGGGGCTGTGGGTATGTACATGTGTGTGGATGAGGGCTGTGGGTATGTACATGTGTGTGGATGAGACTGTGGGTATGTACATGTGTGTGGATGGGGGCTGTGGGTATGTACATGTGTGTGGATGAGGCTGTGGGTATGTACATGTGTGTGGATGAGACTGTGGGTATGTACATGTGTGGATGAGGGCTGTGGGTATGTACATGTGTGTAGATGGGGCTGTGGGTATGTACATGTGTGTGGATGAGGGCTGTGGGTATGTACATGTGTGTGGATGAGACTGTGGGTATGTACATGTGTGGATGAGGGCTGTGGGTATGTATATTGTGTGTGGATGAGGCTGTGGGTATGTATATTGTGTGTAGATGGGGGCTGTGGGTATGTACATCTGTGGATGAGGGCTGTGGGTATGTATATTGTGTGTGGATGAGGCTGTGGGTATGTATATTGTGAGTGGATGAGGCTGTGGGTATGTATATTGTGTGTGGATGAGGGCTGTGGGTATGTACATGTGTGTGGATGAGGGCAGTGGGTATGTACATGTGTGTAGATGGGGCTGTGGGTATGTACATGTGTGTGGATGGGGGCTGTGGGTATGTACATGTGTGTAGATGGGGCTGTGGGTATGTACATGTGTGTGGATGGGGGCTGTGGGTATGTACATGTGTGTAGATGGGGCTGTGGGTATGTACATGTGTGTGGATGGGGCTGTGAGTGGGTATGTACATGTGTGTGGATGGGGCTGTGAGTGGGTATGTACATGAGTGTAGATGGGGCTGTGGGTATGTAAATGTGTGTGGATGGGGGCTGTGGGTATGTACATGTGTGTGGATGGGGCTGTGGGTATGTACATGTGTGTGGATGGGGGCTGTGAGTATGTACATGTGTGTGGATGGGGCTGGGGTATGTACATGTGTGTGGATGGGGCTGGGTGAGTACTTCTCTGTGTGCATAGTCAGTGCCGTTCTGAGTGGCTTATCATTTGCTTGCTACGCTAACTCTTTCTGTATGCACTATGGGGTACTGAGTCTTCAAATTTAAAAATGGTTCTTGAAGAGTCAGCAATATTATAGCTACTTTATCTTACATTTGTTTTATTTTATTTTGACAAAAGTGAATACTTCCACCAAGGCAGTGGACAGAAAAGGATGGATGCCGTGCAGTCACAAACACCACAAGCACAGCTTTTACGTGAGGCCTGAGTACCCTGTTGGCAGACAGTCATGAGTTACAGGAGGGAAGGACGAAAGTCTAACCGCCTACACTGGTCACAGGTATTTCAGGACAGGGTAGGGGATGGGAGGGAAATGAGGGAAAGCCACACACCCGGGCCTTGGAACCCTTCCCCACCCACAGCACTGTGGGAAGAGGAGAGTGCAAATGCCCCCGCTGAGCAGCACGGTGAGCAAAGGGTTAAATGCTTTGCTCTTGCTTTATTTTCCAGGTGCTCGATAACTCGGTATCTTAAGTACTAGGAGCTCAGTAACAGACAGGGAAGTCAAAATTCCTCTTTGAATGGAGATCCATTCCGGTTATTTATTGATACGTTTAAAGGGGCAAATACCACGGGAACAGCAGACGATAGAGGGGCTCTGAGCTCGGTTACAAGGACTCATTGGGGCGGTGAGGCCTAAGCAGCAGGTGACAAGGGCTTGAGAGATGCTTGCAGGGGTGAAACTGGCCGAGTAGCGAGGGCAGCTTAGAGGGCAGTGGTGATTTACAACGGACGTACACAGGGCTCTTCCGGTTCACCCAGGCCTGTCTCAGAGTACAAGGTGAAGGTCAGCAAAGGATGACACCAGGGTCAACCTCCGTCTTCCACACACGCATGCACAGGTCACAGACATGCACACACACACGCGTACTCACAGGGCACAGACATGCACACATACACACGCGCGCACAGGTCACAGACATGCAAACAACAAGCGCGTGCACACACACACATGCACACACACACACACACAAACGCACACGCACTCACAGGTTACAGACACACACACAATTAGACAAGGAGATAAGGGCTCCTGTCTTGGTAACATGAATGACACTGTCTGCTAGGCTGGTGGCTCAAAGGGATGGAACTCAGGTTGGAGAGACAACGAGGGTGTAGAGACACAGTATGTGACAACACCAAGGGGAGGAGGCTCAAGTGATGTCAGTGTGTAGGGAGACAACCAGCTTCAAGGAGACGCATACCCGAGGATGGAGACAGACACAAGAGCAGCCTCGTAACAGGGGCTCAGCTCTGACCCTTGAGAAGCAGCCTGGGCAAATTGCACAAACGCAGGGCTGCATTGGGACAGAGGGAGGGATGGAACGAGCAGTGAGCCTCCCTGTGTTTCTAGCAGTTAGGCAGTAAAGGAACAGGAGAGGGGAGGGGAGGGGAGAAGAGGGGAGGGGAAGGGAGGGGAGAGGAGGAGAAGGGAGGAAAGGGGAGGGGCCTGGAGAAGTCTGAGAACAGGAGGACAGAGGGACCAGCAGGGCAGGTGAAGGAGCCAAGACCCCAGTGCTGGACAGACAAGCAGCGAGTCCCCCAGGAGCCAGCCTTCTGCAGCCTCTGTAAACACCCTAAGAAAGGTGTCGGGTGAGCACAGTGCCCGCTCCCCCGTACAGGTACAAAGGACAGCCTCAACGGATGGCGCACCCCCCAAACACACTCACTCTTCCTCCTTGGGTCATGACCTCTATAAAGCGCTCAGTGCCCAGGAAATCCTCATTCTTCTAGCTCAAGAAAGTGCTTTTGAAGGTGAGCAGGGGAGTCGGTCCTGAGTGAGTTATCAGCAGTATACAGACAGGGGCTTGGTTGAGGGTCCAGGGGAGGGTTGGGGTGGAAGTCAGTGTCAGGGCGCCTGGCAGGCAACACGGGCAGACAGATAAGGTCCTGTATGAACTGTGCCATATGCCACCCCTACCTGAGCGCTCCTCACCGTGGTGGCAGGGACGGTGACAATTCCTCCCCAAGGACCCCATTAGCAAGCAGCGTCTTTCCAGGACGGATACATCTGATTTGCGGTTCTGGGAACCTGGGCTGCAATGGGAATTTCCCATCATCGCAGCTGCCCTAAGAGCATCTTGCAACTGCAAACTTTACCTATGGTGCGATCTTTCGACACTAGAGAGCTCCACCTCATTTAGAGCGCCGTGCACACGGCCAACGTGAAAATGGAAGCCGTCTTATTGATTGAGCAGAATCTTATCTTAAATCAATTAATACACACACGGGGCTGAGAGCGCATATAGACATGAAAATGGAAGCCGTCTTATTGATTGAGCAGAATCTTACTTATTCATTAAAAGGGTAGGAATTAAAATAACTTGTTTCTGAAACGAGTAAATCTCCAAGGAACGATGCTTGGCTTTTGTAAAACTGCAGGGAACTTTACCTTGATTTTATCAATATAATTGGCTTCCTTGTGATCAAACACTTCGTGAGCCCCGTTTTGCAGAACGAGCTTCTTTCCTTCCTCAGAACCAGCTGTGCCCAAAACCTTTAAGCCATGAGCTCTGGCAATCTGGCACGTAGCTAACCCAACCTGAAAAACAGAAGCGTAGGCCTGACGTTACATACATATTCTCTGTGTTCCCGAAAATCGTTCGGTGCCTACAGGGAACCGTGGTTCTCCAATGCAGTGCTTCTCAACCTGGAGGCCGAGCTGTGGATTTATTTGTCAGTGTCTGGAGGGCTCCGCCTCTCCGTGTGGGGAGACCAGTCTAGAACTTGCAGCTGTCAGCACCCCATGAGTGCCTGGAGTCTCCGGTGCTTGCTGTGGCTCTCAGTATCATCCTGAGCCTTTACCTTGCCCTGGACATTGGCCGGCCGACTTTGTTCTCTGCTGGGTCATGTGTAAAGTCACCCCACTGAGAACCGCCGACCCGGAGCAGGGCCTGGGTTTCCTGACTGTGTCTGTTCACTCCCATTTTCCAAGGGAAACAGACCCTTCCTTTATCCTAAGTCAGATGCAGAAAGGCACTCAGCTTGAAAAGAAGATGAGTACTCAGCCATTTCTTTCTTTTTCTGTCACTTACTACTTTTATTTTATGTGCGTTGGGGTTTTGCCTGCATGTGTGTCTGTGTGAGGGTGTCAGATCTTGGAGTTGCAGACAGTTGTGAGCTGCTACGTGGGTGCCAGGAATTGAACCCAGGACCTCTGGAAGAGCAGTCGGTGTCCTTAACCACCAAGCCATCTCTCTAGCCCTCCGTTTCTTTTTCTTTTGAGAAGCTCATCGTTAGCCCAGACTGGCCTGAAGTCATAGTGAGCCTCTGCCTCAGCCTCCCACAAGTTAGGATTCTCAGCATGTGCCGCCACGTTCGGCTGCCATTTTCCACTAAAGGTCAGCATTTCACACCCCGACCAGGACTATGGTGATATATTATTTGTAATTATATTAAATATAATATAATTATATTAAAGCTTGCCTGTGGGCACAGGAAAGTCAGCCTCAAGTCACAGAGTCAGGCGGTGGTGACGCACACCTTTAATCCCAGGACTCAAGACACAGGCAGATGGATCTCTGTGAGTTCAAGACCACACTGAGCTACATGAGATTGGTCCAGTCCTAAAGGCTCACACAAAGGAGATCTCAGCACTTGGGATCCCATGCCTTCAATCCCAGGATCTGAGAGGTATAAAAGGAAGAGGCAAGCTGGGCGGTGGTGGCACACGCCTTTAATCCCAGCACTCGGGAGGCAGAGGCAGGCGGATCTCTGTGAGTTCGAGGCCAGGCTGGAACGACAGCCTCCAAAACAATACAGAGAAACCCTGTCTCGTAAAAACAAAAACAAAAAACAAAAAACAAAAAACAAAAAACAAAAAACAAAAAAAAAAGGAAGAGGCAGCAGTCTGGGATTGCAGTTTCCAGTCACGCTGAGGAAAGGGCAGCCCTTTCAGCCTGAGGCAGAGGCTAAGAGCTCGTGACCTGGCTACGCTGCATTTCTGGTATTCTTGAAGCTTGAACCCCAATACCTGTCTCTGGGGTTTTTATTTTTGAGTTACACAGGACTTCCTCAGCATTTTCCGCTCAGGCCTCCTCTCTGCCTGAGAAGTTTTTACACAACCTTAGGTATGTAGGCACATGAAACAGACATACAAATCAGACCTCTCGGGGTTTGACCCCATTATTCTGACTTTAAATCGTCAAGGGTAAGAATGACACTTTACATAAACATATGTAATACAGAAGTAGCAGACGTATTTAGGGCCACGTCAGCAACTGGTGAAAATTCTTCCTACTCCCAGGTCAAAATTTATTGAATTGTTTTCTAATGAAACTCAAGGCAGCAATTCCACAGCCATTTTTAAACTCAAGCCTTCTTTGTGAGCATGTGTGTATGTGCTAGTGTATGTATGCAGTGCACTTACAGAGGCCAGCAACGAGTGCATTCTCTCCCGTACCGCACCATCTTGTTAAACCCATACGTTCTAACACGATACACTCCAAAGACAACATCAGCTTGATACCCGCCGACCCAGGATCAGCGGGTTAGACTGCTTTCCACTGAGCCAAGTCAGAAACCACGTGGGAGAGGTCGAGAACCAACTCAAGCAAGTTGTCCCCGACCACGCAGAGCGTGCACAGACCCACAGACAAATAATCAATTAAAGAGTGAAGCTACGATCTGGAAGGCCAACGGGACTGGGTAAAACAGGAAAGATAATTACGATAAAAAGTGAGAGAAACTCACTTGATGGAGCGGGAGGACTCCTAGCCATCTGGGCTAGAGCAGGCTCAGAGACTGTGAGGCCCCTGGGGTGGATGAGCCTGTGCAAGTCAGGCACGGTTTCCACAGTCAAACCAAAACAAGTGAGCAGGGCTCCATCTAACGAAGAAGACAGCCAGCCCAGCGGCTAAGACACTGCAGTGTGGAGTCATCACAGTGTACTCCCATGACTCACATTTCCTATTAGCACCGTGACTCTAATAAAATCACATGCTAAGGCTCACATTTAACAAAAACACATCACCTCATACTCTTCTTTGAGGGGCTACTCAGTGGTCTTCCGAATGCCCCTGGCTGCTATTTTCTTGCCAGCAATTAGACGCACAGTATTTTTCCAAGAGATTGTGTGCCATTGTCCATCAGCTATTTTTCTCCAACTCATCTTGCTAACGCTAAAATGAGGCACTCCCTACCAACACACTGGGACAATGGCTGTGTTCGTAAATCCACAACATTTTGAACCCACGACATAATCCTGCAGGAATGAGAATTACGTGAGGACGGAAAGTACAGAGGCAAGCCAGGCGAAAGCCAGTGCTGTCTCCCTCAGATGGGGCAGGGGGATTAGCGATACTTCCCACACCAGGCGGACAGCACGTCCCGGCCAGCCAGGATTTAGCAGGCTGAGCCAGCTCTCAAAACCAACAGTTTGGATTTTACCTTTTAAAAAAGCAAACCAATCCCTCTGAGGTGACAGGGCTTTCTACGGGAGGGTGATGGGAATAAAGAGATTTCCTTTAAACTCCTCTCTCTCCACTGTACCAAAAGCTTTCTTTTCTACAGAGCTCCGGGCTCTCAGGAAGCCACAGCAATTTAAGCAGACACATGCGCTTTTCAACCCTTTGGTTATTAGGCTAAATTTAAGCCTCATCCAAAACCGGCCTTCGGTGATGGTAAAAAGTGAGTCCAGCTGTTGTGTTTTCTCAAGCTGTGGAGACACCCCGGGCTTCTTGGTAAACAATCTGATCCGTGAAATCCCCCAGGATTGATTTCCTCGAGTCATCCAAGAAGCCGGAGATGAAATGAGGAAGTTCATCTCCAAAGACACAAAGTGGCCTGACCTTTTGAGTCACCTGGGACTTTGAGAGGAAGAGTCGTGCTGCCAGGGTCACTACCATCATTCCATGGGGCGTGCCGTTCCCATGAGTTCCCCTTTCCATGTGTCCCCCCAGAACTCCCAGGACTGAGGGGTGACAAGCTCCCTGAAGGTGAGCCATCATCGTGCCCCGGGCCCTGAGTTTCAACAGCGTGAGATCTTGTCTCTAACATTTCCAAAGTCTCTCTGTGCTGGAGTATTAAACCCCAGATGCGTGGCTCTAGTATTCCCTCCGTGTTCCTTGGAGACAGACTGCAGTAAGATCCTGAGGAGTCTCGCAGTGCTGTGCTTGGCAATTTCCTAAAGGGGCTTAGGGGTAAATTCCGAATCCTTTCCCGCTAATGTGGGCGCTGGCAGCCTTGGGTTCTGGTACTGAGCGCACGGCTAGACACCATGCACTCCTTGGGTGTCATCACAGGGTGCGTGTGCTGGGGAGGGGAGCGGGCGGAAGAGAAGCTGACCGCTGCCCAGGAGGTTTAATGAGCCTTACTCTGCTATCTGAGGGAATACGGAGCAACTTAAAGCTTTGAACAGCTTAAAATGCCACATAATTCTAAAAATAGTAACATTTGCCACTTGAAGGCAAAGACAAGGCCAGTCTTGGTGCGCTCCCAACATGGGTGGAAAACCCACCAGTTAATCTTCTTATGAGGCATCCTGATGAATTTATTGGGTGAGAAATGCTGCCGCATCAGCCATCATTTCCACTCAGGGACTGCATCTGGAGAAGTTTCGTGGCCTTAGAGGCAGGGGAGGGGAGCGTGACTGTAAAGGTGGTCTCCGAATTGGCTTTACTGCGGACAACGTCCACACCGCAGCCTGGCTGGAGGAGAGAGGCACAGACAGGGCCGTGTCTTGGCCGAGGAGCTACTAGCAGCGGGCGGTGGCCGGGGGAGGAAGGGACAATTGTCTGCAGGGGTTTGGCACTCCTGGGCCCACTGTGCTCCTGCAGACGGCTTCTCATCCAGGCATCACTGACTTTGGACCCAGTGGGCTATTTTTAAAGAAGAAGACATGAAGCTGGGAAGGACGTGGGTGTGTGAGGGGTGAGACCAAACACCCTGAGAACATGCGTGAAATCCTCAAAGAATAGCTTCTTCAACTTTAAAAACAAGAAGGTAAAGAGAGTTCAGCAACTATCATAGGGACCCCCTAACTCCATGCTCACCTAAACACAGACGTGAAAATACAGATACTTACGCCTCCGCTGGCCCCGTGAACCAGGACGCTTTCCCCTGCTCGAGCGCGGGCACTGCAGGACAAAGCAGAGGCACCATCACTCTCCTGCGCAGCGAACCACAAGCTGGTGTTTCCCGTCATCTCTGAGGAACCCCTACCCTGCCCTTGCTTCTGCTAGCACCCGAACAGCGACTGCACCCTGGCACGGGGTCAAAAGTCCCGACCCCAGGGCTCAAGGGAGGCTCCCCGGAGCCGCGATGAACACAGGCCTTCCATGCAGTACCCACTCTGGAGACGGCATGGGTGTCTGCTGCCTGCCTCTGTCCAGGGTGGACGCAGTTCTCAGGTTACAGTCCTTGTACACCGGTGGAACTTCTGAACCAGGAAGACTGGGGTTCCTCGTGCCTATTGTGTCCCCACAGACAGTGTCCCCAGACATGTGGCTCAGGGTTACCCAGGTCACAGCAGGTGGGCTGCTTTTGGCAGGGCTAAGGAAATGTCCTCGCCTCTCAGCGCCTCTGAAAATCAGATCTGAGCAGTTCCGGAAAAGGCAGTGCTGAGCCACCAGGGTCCCCGCGCCACCCCGTAAAATGCCGGGCTTGTCACCTGTGCAGTGTTACTGCATCTTTTTCAAAACCCTGAACGTGAGGGACGGACACCGAGTCAGCATGGGGCGTGCATCATTACTCAAACTCAGGAGCCTTCGTGTCGCCACCACCTTGTGACCCAGCTCATTCGGGGAATACGGTAGGAAGACCCCCTTTGTGGAGACCCTGCCCCTTCTAGAATGAGAACCAACTAGCCCCGTTGGCTGCTCCTTCTCTTAGAGCTCTTACTGCCTTCTCCTGATTTTAGCTCACCACCAAACAGCCTTGGATTGATCAGAAAACCCGACTCCCTTGACATATCCGGCAAATGTATGTGGTGGTCTGAGTGAGAACGGCCCCCATAGGCTCATACATTTGAACGCTTAGTCGCCAGGGCGGGGCACTGTTTGACAGGGTTAGAAGGATTAGGGGGCGTGGCCTTTTTGGAGGAAGGGTGTCACTGGGGGTGGACTCTGAGGTTTCAAAAATCCAAGCCAGGCCCAGGCGCCCCCTCCCTCTGCTGGTGCATCAGAGTGTTGCTCTCGGCCACTTCTCCAGCATGGTGCCTGGCTGCTGCCATGACGACAGGGACTAATGCCCAGAAACCGTAAGTAAGCACCCAATTAAATGCTTTCATAAGAGTGGCCGTGGCCATGGTCTCTCCTCAGCCACAGAACAGTGACTAAGACACAGGTAAACATTTACCTCGGTGCCCTCTGATATTTCCCTCCTGATTCCCAATTTTTTGGGAAAATGATCTCCATTCAAGGGATTGATTTCCTCTTTTTGACCCAAAATGATCAAACTTCCTTCTTCTGTTCCCTCTGTGATGGTCATGACCTCAGAAATGCAAATGACCAGCAGTGCTTTTTTTGTTTGTTTGTTTTGTTTTTTCGAGACAGGGTTTCTCTGTATTGTTTTGGAGGCTGTCCTGGAACTCGCTCTGTAGACCAGGCTGGCCTCGAACTCACAGAGATCTGCCTGCCTCTGTCTCCCGAGTGCTGGGATTAAAGGCGTGCGCCACCAACGCCCGGCCCAGCAGCCGTTTTTCTGACAAGCAGCCACCGGGCAGGCAGTGGGAGCGGCCTCCGTGGGCTGGCTGCGGGGTCACAGCGCCACCTCACCTGTGGAACAGAGCTCGGCAGGCCGTGAAGTACGGGATCCCAAGTGCGGCCCCCTGCCTGAAGTCCAGCTTCTCGGGCAGGGCGTAGACAGTGTGATCCGCTGCAACGGCGAACTCAGCGTAGCCGCCGGAAACGGTGCTGGAGCAGAAGACGCGGTCGCCTTTCTGAAAGAGAGGTCAGCGAAGGCTCGAGTCAGCCACGCCCGCTGGGCCAAGATGGACGGAGGAGACTCTTACAGGGGCAGCCTTTCAGTGAGAATTAACCATTTACACACGGATGTCTCCAACTCAGCGTCCCACGAACACAGCTGAAACCCTGGCCCTCTATAGGTGTTCTCTGAGCTGGGACTTACAAAAAGAGGCATTAAAGGAGACAGGAGTGCTATTTTACTTTTGCTGGGTACTTGCTAAGACAGACGCTGCATCCTTCTACGTGACCGCCACGGTGACCTGGGGAGGGTGGGTGCTCTGCCGTCCCCACTACAGATGGGGAAACTGAAGTGCACGCAAGTGTCCTATTTTCATCCAATTAAGCATCGCGTTGAAGTAGCAGAGAGAGGCAGAGCAGACACCAGTACCTCTCACAGCAGGAAGCGAACGCCCCAATAATGCCGCCTGCTGCACCCGGTCACGGAAAAGCACGTGTGCGGCCTAGTCTCACACGCCCCACGTGCTGGCAGCCTGAACACCTGGCCTTTGTCTTCAGGGGGAAAGAGACAAAGGAAAGTAGAGGGACCACGAGCGGAAAGGCTGTGCAGTGGTGGCCTCGGTACTCCAGCTGTCCTGCGATAAAGACTAGGAAAGGCTAACCGCGGTGGGCTGCGGTGTAGGCATGAAAAGGCTTGGGAGGAAACGGAGAGCCAAGGCAAGTGTGACGAGCACTGGGCAGTGCTGCCTGGGGACGGCAAGGAAGCCTAAGCAGGAGGGGCCCCTGTTTACGGCTCGACTTCCGCGTGATTCAAACATTAAGAACTTGCTAGAAGGACAGCGTTGCTTCGGAGTCCTGTGAGGGATACCAGTGGTGACGGCGACACACTGCCCCGAGTGTCAAGCATGCGCGCCTCCAGGAGGGGAGGGAAGGGAAGACATGCGGTCGTAAAGGAAGTAAACGTGCTGGGATGGGCCCCAGAGGGGAGCGAGGAGCTGAAGGAGCTCCCCGGGGAGTTTGCAGCGGAAGTCACAGCAAGATCCGAAGAACAGGACGAGGACAAGGCAGCACGGTGAAGGGAGCCTGGTGGCAGGGGAGTCGGCCAATAGCGAATGCTGAGACAGAGCGAGCATTCCCTTCTGTTTGTGCAGAAACAAAGCTGTTACCTCCAAGGGAGCAAGAGTTCATCCTGGAGCCTCGAGTGACCACAGCCTGGGAACAGAGGTTCTAGTCAGTTCAGCTCTGACAGCTCCGTGAAGCAAGCAACCACGACAGCCATCAAATCAGGCGCTTTTCACACGTTAGTGGGGACGCCATGGGAGGCGGTGAGAGCACAGCGGGGAGTTCTCTGCTATGGGCCTCAGACGCTGTGTTGTGGGTCTGTGTGTGCATTCCCACAGGGCTTTCCTGATACTCATAAAGATGGATGTTGGGTCAAAGAAAGAGGTGGGCAATGGAAGGTTAGTGGCAGGGCTTAGACAGACCAAGATAAATCAGCCCAGGGCCCACAACATCCTCGCTCTATACCACCATGGAGGCTATACCAGCCCATTGGGTCTGCGCCATCACCAATATGGGGCAAGGGGCTATTTTCTGGGAACTTCAGTTTATACCCCAAATGGTAGGCGTTTCGTACACTGCACAGCACTTGATAGCCGCAGGAAATAACATGGAAAGAAACAAAAGAGGGGGTTCGAGGCCGTTGAAGACACATTTGTGCTCCAGGGCCACCGTGCCGAGTGTTGGGAACGGCACGGACACAGGCACAGCCAGGAGAGCATGGAGTATGCAGTCCTGAAGACAGCACACAGGAAGAGTGCCGGACAAGGACGGACAAAACTGACACAGTCCTGCTTCACATCAACACCAAAACACGCAACAAACACATGTAAGTCAGGAACAGGAGAAGGCAGCAGGTGCCTATAAATTACAGGTTACGTGATGGGAGACGTCAGTCTGTAAACATGTTTCTCTTATTGGTTGATAAATAAAGCACCATTGGCCAATAAGGAAGCAAGATAGGTGGGACTAGGAGAGGGGGAGGATTCTGGGAAACATAGGCAGAGTCAGTCATCATGTAGGATGCAAGAAGAGTAGCAGGTCTGGACCCTCTCTCTGGTAAGAGAAGACCACGTGGAAACACTCAGATTAATAGAAACGGGTTAATAATTTAGACAGAGCTAGCCTATAAGAAACTGGCTAGTGGTTTCATAATTAATATAGTGTCCGTGTGCTTCTTTGGGGCAGAGAAGGGTGGCAGGACCTAGCCGGGCCAAGGAAACTCATGTTACAGTCACGTTACTTCAATAGGAGAGACAACCTAAACCAAGCCACAGGCAGGGATCACAGCAGGGGGTGGGGAGAGGTGCCAGGCAGGCTGAGAGGGGCCTCAAACACCAGCCGTCACCAAGGCAGGAGGACCTCAGTGAGTACAGATGATCTGAGGAAGGACCTCCTGGAAGGGGGCAGCCAGCGGGACACGGTATAAGAGAAGAGTCTGTGGGATGGGCATATCCTACACCCGCCCCGTCTAGGAAGGGGGCAGCTAGAGACACGGGACTGTTAAGCGCTTGAAAGACTACAACTGTGGCATAGGAATTAGACGTATAATGGGAATCTAACTGTTTGATGGACAGAGCCAGAGAACGCCACGTCAGACAGTCCCAGGACTTGGGTGAGTCAGGAAACAGAGGTTGTCTGTGGCTATGGACCACGGAGGAGAGAGGATATGCACAGACAGCCGGTCTGGATGGGGCTGAGAGCTCAACAGGACTAAGGCAGCATTCGAAGAGCAGGGGTGGGAAACGAGGGTTGCCTAGAGAAAGGGACAGCAGCGCAGGCGACACCATAGGCGCCAAAGTGAAAGCTGGGCCTTGGTTTTGTTGCTGCTGCTGCTGCTGTTTAAGAAAAGGTTAACTGAATGGATGGGGAACACGGCGAGGGGTGGGGGGAGTGGGAGCTGGGAAGAAGAGAGGGGGTGAAGAGGAAGAGAGTTGGTCATGGGGGATCAGGAAGTTGAGTGGGTGGGGGTAGAATAGGGGGAAGAGGGAATCATAGGAAAGAAGACAGATCAGGCACCAGAGTGACCTCGAGTGATCTAAAGGCATAACACCAATTGGCAAGCTAAGCAATAGTGGAGAGACCACCTCGAATGCCCATTCCTGATAATGAACTTGATGTCTATAACCATCTGGGAGCCTTCATCCTGTGACTGATGGAAGCAGAGGCAAACACACAATTAATCACTGAACTGAACCCAAGGAACCCAGTGACAGAGAGAGAGGAGTGATGAGCAAATTGGCAAAGATTGGGCTGGCAAAACCAGCAGAGACAGCTGATCTGAACAGGGGAGAGCTCTTGGACCCCAGACCGACAGTGGGGAGGCCAGCATGGGACTGATCTGGACCCCCCAAATGTGAGTGTCAGCTAGAAGGCATGGGCAACCTATGGGGCCCTGAGTTGTGGATCAGTGTCTATCCCTGGAATACAAACAGTCATCGTGTGCCTATAGCACAAAGAGAGATGCTCTGTCAGCCTGGACTCTTAGGGGAGTGCCTGGACCCTACCCTGAGTGAAATGACAGACTCTAGATATCCCCTATGTGGAAGGATTTGGCAATAGGGTGGGAGGGTGGGGGGGAAGGGGAGTGTGGGAGGAGGGGAGGGAGAGGGAACTGGGATTGACATGTAAAACAAGCTATTTAAAATTAAAATAAAAAATGAAAATAAAAAGAAAAAAAAAGTTAACTGACTGAAAGTGTCAGATGCCATGGGAAGTTAGGGCAGATGATGCCGTAAAAGGGACTGTTGGCTCCGGGAGGGTAGTCACCAACAGGGGCATTGGCGAGAAAGTGTCAGAGGCACTGTGGGACAGACGGCACGTTTGCAGGAGCAGAGAGCTGCAGGAGTCTGCCCGCTTCCCACACAGGGGCAGGGTAGGTTTCTCCAGTTAAGTCCAGGTTTGGTGAATATGGTGCCAGGGGTGAGCAGGTCGAGAAACTAGGAGGCAAGAGGGTAGCCATCAGCATGCTACGAAGACAGTATCCATGCTGGGCATGTCTTTTGCAGGACAGTAAAATGACAGCCATGATCAAAGCCCCGATCTCGACCCCAAAACGGCATAGTGACTCTGCATATGCTCAGGGTCTATTTATCCCCCAAAAGAGTTCACCTTTCCTCTACCTTGTGAAAAGGAATTTAAAAGATTCTGTGTATGACAAGTTGAGTCATCTGTCATCTCCCTATTTGTTTTCTCCGATCACAAGTTTCTAGTGGACTAAATGCACCACAACTCGTTCACTGAGTTGTGATGACACAGAAACTACCCAGTACTGATTCCCAACAAGGCCTCTGGATAAGAAACGTTTTCTTTTTGGACTAGAACTGGCAGAAACTATGCAACGGGTACCTTTGAAAGCCTTAAAATCTATCATTAAATTTCAAGAGAATGCAGTAAAGTCAAAAATAGAAATAATCAAGAGTGGAATTACCTTGAAAGCAGACACGCCATCTCCGACAGATTCTATGACCCCAGCCACATCGGTGCCTGGAGTGTACGGTAAGGTGGGTTTTCGACTGTAGGTTCCAGAGCGAATGTATGTCTCTACTGGGTTGACACCACAGGCATGGACTTTGATTAGAACCTGCAATGACAATACAATACAGTTCACACCAAGCACTGCGGCATTGCCTCACAAAGATGCTGCAGGGATAATGATGGTGCAAGAAAAACTGAGGAAATAAGCGAGACTGAGCAAGCCCCTGCCTTCAACCAGCCTCTTCTCTACGTCTGCAGTAAGAAGTGACGTAGACTGGCTTACACACTATTCAGGAACAACAGAAGGGGCTCACGGAGGTGTGTTTCAGCAAACTCCATGTGTCCACAAGACCCACTTCCGTTTCTTCGGTGTGTGTGGGGAATAGGATCTCCCAGTGTCCCAGCTAGTTTCTATGTCAGCTTGGCACACACTATGGTCATCTGAGAGCAGGGAACCCCAGTTGAGAAACTGCTTCCATAAGGTCTGACTGTAGACTAGCCTTGAGGGAATTTTCTTAAACACTGATGTGGGAGGGCCCAGCCCATGGTGGGTGGCGCCCGCCCCTGGGCAGGTGGTCCTGGGTTCTATGAGACAGCAGGTTGAGCAAGCCATGAGGAGCAAGCCAGGAAGCAGCATCTTCCCTGGCCTCTGCATCAGCTCCTGCGTCCAGGATCCTCCAGTTTTGAGTTCTCGCCCTCACTGCTTTGGGTGACGAACCGCTATATGCAAGTGTGAGTGAAACAAACCCACCCTTCCCACGTTACTTCTGTTCCTGAAGTTTCCTCACAGCAACAGAAGGACTCACTCTCTGGAACCGTAGGACCCAGTAAACTCATTTTCCTGTAGCTGCCTTGGCCACGGTGCCCCTTCACAGCAGTAGAAAAGAAACTAAGACACCTGTCCTCCTTCACATGTGAGGAGCCACAGGAAAGTGACCCAAAGGACTTAGAGTCGCTTGCAGGCCCAGTGCGGTGAAACCTCCCCAAACCCTCTCTTCTCCATGCTAAAGTCCACAAAACCTACAACGGAAGAGACCTGGGTCCACACCAGCACTGCAGGGTCTGGGGAAATCTTCTGTTGCTGAACCACTGAGATTCTGAGGCCTATCGAAGAAGCAGAGTTTGGGGGCTGGGGTGTGGACTGCCAGTACAATGCTTATGTAGTGTGACGGAGTCCCCCGGTTCGAGCCCCCGTACTGCAGGAAAGCGCGGCTTCCTACAGAACATGGTTAGTATCGATCTCTGCTGTAAGAGTGAAGGGAGGTCTTACGGATGGCCTTAGGAAAATAGGTAGAAACTCTGTAGGAATGGTGGGGTGGTGTTTTGCAGGTCAAAGGAATATTCACAATGATGGAAGGAGAGTCTCTGTGGGAAACTGGGTAAATTTAAGGTTGTTAGAATATACTGAGTAGGTGATAAGAAATGAACCTGGAAAGATGAGCTACGGGCAAGCTGAAAAGAATTCTTTTTTCTTCTAAGGCTTACTAATTATATTAGACTAGGGGTATGGAATGTACCTTAATAAATATATACAATTTGAGTCAAAAGGATATTGATTTTAAAAAAATCACTAGAGACAATTAAATCCTACAACTGAATTTTCTCAAGTTACTGGAGAGAGGAGGCTTTTCCTTGTCTTTGACTTGGTTTTTCCCACCAGTCTCCTGGGCTCTGCCCCATTGTAGTCCTCAAATAACACACAAGATGTTTTATTAATTATGAAGCTGTTGGCCTTGCTTGTTTCTTACTGGCTAGCTCTGACTTAAGTATTTATCCCATAATTGTTAATCTAAGTATTTCTCTTACCGGACAGACCTCTTACTTCTCTGGCGGGCTACATGATGACTCCCTGTGTTTCTCCTTCCCAGAGTCATTCTGGACTCCTAGTCCCACCTATCTTGCTTCCCTATTGGCCAACAGTGCTTTATTGACATATACACAGGACTTCCCCCATCACAGTATGCCAGAGCATTAATGCAGAGGGGGAACTACTTTTCCACCGTGTCAGAAATAAAAATCGTGACAGGGAAACTTATCCAGAATTCCCATGACTGCAATAAGATCCCATGGCTAAACTACAAAGCTGACTTTCAACATTAGAAACTTTGTGGAGGCCAGAAGGTACTCCTTTTCAAATGTCGACTTCAGTGTCATCGAGTGTGTTGTTTTGTCAGGATGCACACAGACAGACAGATGCCCTAGTCCAGCATGTCTGTAGATCATGTGCCTCTGCTCTGGGCAAGCATTGTCTGCAGTGAGTAACTATCCCCACCTGATGGCCTTTTGGGACAGGAACCGCCACGTTAGACTGGAGTTTCAGCACTTCTGGTCCACCAAATTCAAACACTCGAATCGCCCTCATCAACTTCTGTCCGGTCGCCATGGTGATCTAGAGACTAAAAAAAAATAACATTATCATATTGTATCCAGGCTATTACTGTTTTCTCCCCCCCCCCACTCCCCAGAGGACAGATCAAACAAGTTTTCAAACAACAGTTTAAACCAGGAGCTTTCCATTGACCTCACTTCATGTTTAAGGACTTTCACCCTGAAAATCCCTCAGCTACAAAGCAAAATAATCTATACTACTTCCCATGGGGACTGAATGCCTTCAACAAGGGACTCAAACATGCAAACAAAAACATCTGCACCAACACAGCAGGATACCATATCGGATCAGTTTTTTTGTTTGTTTGTTTGAATAAGCTCGGGCTGCAGTGCCTTAAAATTTTTGTACCAACAAACATCAGATTTAGGGATCATTAGTGAGGTTATGAAATGCTGCAAACATACAGAGAGAAACAAGGAATAAACATTTATGCCTAGCTTTTAATACTGTAAACCATTATAGACTTAACTGAAGTCTATCACACACCCCCTCCAATCATCTCTGGGCCACACTTGTAAAGTTGGTTGGTACCGCAAATTCAACGTTAGTAATTGCCCAGCGTGATTATATGTATCCAGGAGCAACAAACACAATTACTTTGTATATTTACTAACTTTATTTGGACTGAATTTATTTGTACTGAATTAAGCTATTTCCTTTTTCCCTTTAGCATCCAGGTTTTTTTTTTTTTTTTTTTTTTTGAAATCTATCAGGTTATAGAGACATTAGACTTCCTGCAGTTTTTTTTTTTTTTTTTTGGTTTTTCGAGACAGGGTTTCTCTGTGGCTTTGGAGGCTGTCCTGGAACTCACTTGGTAGTCCAGGCTGGTCTTGAACTTACAGAGATCCGCCTGCCTCTGCCTCCCGAGTGCTGGGATTAAAGGCGTGCGCCACCAACGCCCGGCTTCTTCCTGCAGTCTTTTAAATGCTTTATGACATTCGCTTAGGTATGCGTGTAAGCGTGTAAAAGAAGGTGCCAGTGCATGCCAGGGCACCAGAGTGCAGGTCAGAGAACAGCCAAGAGTCAGTTTTTCCCTTCCCCACATAGGGCCCAGGGATCTAACTGAGGTGAGGTGTGGGGGCAAGTCTCTGTACCCACTGGACTATCCCTCACAGCCCCCCTGAAGTTCACTGTGACAGAAGGAGAAGGAAAATGAAAACCTAAAAAAACAGCGCAGTTGTTTATACCCAGATCAGGAAAGAAGTCAAACAAAACTCTAACGCCACACATGCCGTGGTCCTTGTTCACGCAACATACACGGCTTCCATAATGATGACTTGCATTAGCCTGGGGGAGGGGCTGCTTACAGGGGTGCAGATGACTCCAAACCAACCAACACTGGGAAGTCTCACCCAGCATGGGTGGATAGACAGAAACCCTCTCCAGTTATCCTTCCATCTGACAAACACGCCATGCCTCCTGGGACATCCGGGCCAAGAGCAGTTAGGGCAGAACTGCATACAGTTGGCCCTGAGCTACAGAAGGGGAGTGGCTGGAATATCAACTAAGGGTTCAGTGACCCCAGCTTCCTATAAGGGGACTTCGACAGTCATCAGTCATGATCTGAGGGATCTCATGTAAGTAGTCACAGCTTTCTGCTTCAGGTCACAGCTGCTCCACCCTGAGGATGGCACTTTCAACAGCAAGTGACTGCGCTAAACCCCCCAAAACATAAAGGCTCCTATGAACGGTGCACACACGGATACACACACATACACACACAACCACACATAACCTATGAACGGTACACACATGGATACACACACACACACACACACACACATAACACACATACCGCAGGCACACAAAACTCATTTTTTCTTGTTTTCTTGCTGGGCTGTGGCTGGAACCGGCTAAGCATCTACAACTGGGCTCTACCTCCTGAGTCTGGCTCTTTTGAGACAGGATATAGCTATGGGGACCAGGGTGGTTCTTGGACATCCTACACAGCGCAGAATGGCCTCCAAGTCTCCACCGTGCAGCCTCTGCGTCCTGAATGCTGTGATTTCAGGCACGGGCGACCTCAGTCGGCTCTTCCCCCTTTTAGCTCCTGTTTCCAACACATCTACCTTTCGAACAGACAACTATCCTATTGTTAGCCTGAAAAGACTATAGTGACAATAAAATCAAAACTGTTCTGAACCAGGGTCTGTATCCTGTCGCTAACTCATTTATTTCCTTACATTTTGAGGGCAGGAAGGAAGGAGGGAGAGGGGAGAGGGGAGATGGAAGGCAGAGACTCCCACTCTGTCCTGGACCTAGGAGACAGACCTCCTCACTTGCCCACCACCGTGTCCTGATGCTGCAGAAGATGCCGCCACCCTTCTGCCTCTCTTGATCTTTGAGCCCAGCCACACGATCATCACCCCAGTGGTGCCCTATCAAAGGGAATCACAAAGAATAAAACAGTGTGATATACTAATAGCAACTAAGAAATTCCTCAAACCTTTATAGTACCCAGATTTTCCTAAAAGGTATATGGTTTGTTGTTTTTTTTAACCTCCATTCATTTAATTATCTTCACATCAGGCAAAATCGAAAAGTTACTAAAGCTGCTACCTTACGCAGAACTAAAAGCAAAGCCCCGTTTTATGAGTGAGAAAACAGCAGAGGAGGTTTGGGGACCCGGACAGGGTCACACAGGTTAGCAGAGGTAGCGCTAACTCCTGAGCCTTAAACGTTGGCTGATTTTGTTTTTCTAACTTATGATCTTCCAAATTCACTGTCGGAAATGTTGGCCTAGACGGCCTTAAATTTCTCTGACATGAATTCTGGAATGGATGAGAACTGGGTGGGAAATGTCACCAAGCTTCAGGCTGGGGGTGTTGTGTGATAGTTTGATCACGCTTCGGCAATCAAGTTTGATTTGACCCAGAGGGCGGGACTAGCCACGAGCTGACCAAAATTAACCATAGAGGTCTTGGACTAAGGACAGACAGAGAAACAGGAAGTAGTAAGGCTGGTCTGAGACAGGATCTCAACCTTTTGGGTTGAGGAACAGAAGAGAGAGGTCACTGGTGGCTTCCCTGTCACTTCTCTGATCGTGCAGGTTCTAACTCCACATCTGACTCCTTATTTTTTTTTTATTTTTATCGATGAAGATTTGATGATCACTTCCCTGGAGCACATATATTCTAATGAAGCCATCTGCTTGGACATTCTTCAGATGCCTGTACATTCAGAAACACAGTAGAGGCACACAGGATACGGTTCTGCGTGGACAGCCCTCCTTGCACGGGCTGCCCGTGGGGATCACCCGCAACAGCAGACAGAGAACCCCGAATGCGATGCCTGGGACACAGTATGCCTTAGCAGCTCCTGAGGTCTCACGCTGGACACCGCAGAGCTTTCTGACACTCTGGGAGCATCTCATGCTGTTGCCTAGGCCGAACTAGAACCCAGTTTGTAGACAAGGCTAGACCGGAGTCTCGGTGCTTTCCTGCCTCAGCCTTCCTAGTGCCTGCAGCACCCACTCTGGCTGCTTTGATTGTTTTTTTTTTTTCAACTACACTGAGGTTCAAGTGACTTTTCAATTTATCAAATACCTATGTAAAGAAAACTGTTTATAGTTGGTATATTTTTTTAATCTTACTTTTGTTTCCAGAGCATACACCTCTGGCTATGCTTGAACTCATTCATAGGATTAAGTGGAAATTAAAGGGGCAGGAAATATGTTCGAAGTATATCTTAACGTATAATTAATGGGCCAGTTCGCAAACTCAGAGCAATGACACGTTTCTAGCCAAGGGCAGAGCGGGCTGAGGCTACGCTTAGCAGCAAAGAGCACTGGTCCTCCTGGGAAGCCTTCACGTGGATTCCCAGCACCCACATGGTGGCTCGGGCTCACAACAGCTCTAATTCCAGTCGGAGAGGTCCTCGCCCTCTTCTGTCCTCTGAGAGATCTAGGCACTGGCACGGTAAAATGCCTACATACACGAAATAAGCAGATGTTTAAAAAGAACAAAATAAAACAAATGAAGAACTTCTGGAGATACTTTTAAATGAAGGCCAAGAAGGAGACCCAATCGTTATAAGACGTTCTAGAATGGCTCTTCAGAGCATGTGGGTTATTTATCCACCTCCAAACGCCAACAGATGATCAAAATTAAAGTGGTCACGGCTGGGTGATGTCATCGATGCTCTCTTAGGTATCAATCACCAGGATCAAGTGAGGGAGGGAGGGAGAGAGAGAGGGAGTGAGAGAGAAAGAGAGGGAGAGAAAGAGAGGGAGAGAGAGGGAGAGAGAGAGAGAGGGAGGGAGGGAGAGAGAGAGGGAGGGAGGGAGAGAGGGAGGGAGGGAGGGAGAGAGAGAGGGAGACAGACAGACACACACACACACACACACACACACACACACACACACACACACACGAGTGGAGAGAGGTTGCAGCAGCGGGCAGCATTCCCAAGAGCAGAGCCAAAGGGGAGTCACGGTGTCTCTGGGGAGCAGGCAGCCCACACCTGGCCTTTGCACCTTGCAATCATTTACATCGCGGGGGCTGAGGTTCTCTGGAAGCTGTGACCTTGCGAGATGTGGTTAGCAAAAGCACCAGGTTTTCCCTCTCTGTCCCTCTTCTTCCTTTCTGCAGACAGAGGTGGGTTGGTGCCCATGGAGTCTAAGGGAAGGCAATGAACGACCCCAGCCTGGAGGCCTCAGGACAGAAAGTCCTCCCGCTGGAGCTGGGGACTTGTGAGCCCGGAGTTGGGCGAGCGCCTGGGGCCTCGCTGGCTGCAGGGACCACCGGGGCCGCCCGCTGTCGGTGGTTCTGAAGTTTTATTCTACGTCCTGTCCTTCTTTGGGAGCCTCCCAACACACGGGGCTGGGAGCTTGCAGCCCTGGGTGAGCCGGTGTCCCGGGACAGAGAGGGAAGGAAAGACAAGTCGTCCAGCCCGAGGGCCGCTCATTTGGAAGAGATCGACGTTTTTTAAAAAATAAAATAAAATAAAATCACTTACCCTCCTCTAGAGTAGGAAGCGGAAACCTCCTAAGCCACGGGCGCTCCAGGGCAAAACAGCAGATGGGCCGGCCTTTTCCAACTTTCCGGAGGCTCCACCTGGCCGGGAGGACGGACGCCTCCTCTGCGCTCGGGAGCGGGCGGGCAGGTGGAGCGGTCGAGCCGCCGGAACCGGCGGGTCGCCCGAGTGGTGAAGTTTGGTCCTCGCCGGCCACCGTGGTCGACAATATGGCCGCGCCCATAGCGTCCACGGGCCCGTTGCCGTCTGGCGCATGGCCCGCCTCGCGGAGTTCGGGCGATGGAAGGCGCAGAGCCTGGGCCGGGCGGACCTGAGCCGGAAGGGCAGCGTGGACGCGGACGCGGCGCCGGTGGTGGAGCGGCTGAACGCGCGGGAGGAGTTCTTCACCACCAGCTCCTGCGCCGGCCGCGTCCTCCTCCTGGACGGGGTGGGTGAGCGGGCCCCGGGGTTGCTCGTCACCGCCCGGCTCGGGCTCGGGCAGTCGGTGCTGCCGGAACGGGGAGAGCGGCGCGGGCGGCCCCAGCCGGGGGGAAGGGGGTCTCCATCCGCAGGGAGCGTGGGAGCTGGGGCAGGGTGGCGTGCGGGCAGCCCGCGGGGCTCACACCCGGGCCTCGCTCCCCGCCCTCCCGGGGCGAGCGTCGCCGGGCCGGCCCGGGCCCTGGGGGGCTGCGGCTGAGCGCGGCTGGGGACACGGCCAAGCCTCGGGCTGAAGCCCCAAGGATGCGTCCTCTCGTCCCTCCTACCGCTGCCCCACCCCCTCTACCGCTGCCCCATCTATTTTTTTTTCCAGACCTTTCCTAATGAGTCTCTGAAACTGTTTTCTCTGCTCCAAACCATCTTGCACATTAGCACGCTTGTCTTTTTTTTTTTTTTTTTTGACCTTGTAAGGCAGGATTTTTTTTTTCTCGCTGGAACTTTGTGACACATTTCCGACTCCAGAAGATCCAATTGTATGCTGTACCAACTCCAGCAGCCGGGTCCCCGCTCTAACTAACTGCCAAAACCGCACTCCTGTGTCCTTGGCGTTCGTTCCTCTCCTGCTTTGGTCTTGCTCGGGTCCTCACCTGGAGTGCAGCCCTGAGAGGTGAACCTGGCCCCGGCTTGTGCTCGGGCAGGTGCCCCCCGGCCGAGCTGCCTCCCCAGCCCCTCCTGGCCTCACACCTTTCAAAGTTGCCTAGGCTGGTCTTGAACACATGCCCGAGACCAAGGAAGCCTGGAACCTGTGATCCTCCTGCCTCAGCTTCTGGCATAGCAGTTCTTCTGTAATGCTTCCCCTGTACCCGCACTCTCTGAGACCTGAGTCCCCCGGCTCCACCCTTCTACCAACACCCAGAGGTGTAGACACCCACTCAGTGACTGCTCACTCTGAACCGTGCTACTCTTAGCACCCTTTCTTGGGCCTCCTTTTGGCTCACGTGTCCTATACTTCACTGGTATTCATTTTCACTCTGACTTATTAGGAAAGTTGAAAACCAGGATAAGAGGAACACAGATGAGCATTCCCAAGTCATGGTATTAGAGTCTGTAAATTTGTTATATGTAGACCACTCACGTGACTCTGAGGTTTACAGCAGCCAACACAAGGTCAAGTACGGGTTACTGAAGTCTACTACGAGCACCAGCTACTCAGAACATGTGCTCCCGAGACCAGATGGCAGAGTACCCTCCTGAGCCCCTGTATAGGTAGAGGTACAGCCATCTCCATGTACCAGGTTCCCTGCTTTTATTTCCAAGTATCTCGGGGAAGGATTTGTATATACCTAGGATTTGCAAATAAAAAATGCTTATGTCACTATTGTAATGATAACCTATTTCACATCTTTGACCCTTTAGTCCTAACTTCTTTACCAGTACAATCTAATGTAGAATTTGTGGACAGAAGTTTCTGTTTTGCCTGGTCCCACACCTATTTAGTCCCAAGTAAACACACAGAGGCTTATATTAATTATAAGCTGTTCGGCTGATGGCTCAGGCTTCTTTTTGGCTAGCTCTCTCTTAATTATTAACCCATTTCTAGCAATCTAAGTATTTCCATGTGGTCTTGACTTACTGGAGAATAAATGCCCAGGCATCCTATCTTCCTGGTGGCTACATGGCAACTCCCTGGCGTCTTTGCTTTCCTCTCTCCAGAATTCTCCTAGTCTGGTAATCCCGCCTGTACTCCCTGTCTGCCTACTGGCTAATGAGTGTTTTATTCATTAACCAATAAGAGAAACATATACAGGACATCCCCCGTCATAGAAACCACAGATTTACGCCCGTAGTGATAAGGAAAGTGTTCAAAGGCGTACCCATCACAGGTATCAGCCAATGGTAGGTCTAATGTAGTGTTGGTTCTGTTCTGCAGGTGCGTCTAACGTAGGGTTGGTTCTGTTCTGCAGGTGGGTCTAACATAGTGTTAGTCACTGTTCTGCAGGTGGGTCTAACGTAGGGTTGGTTCTGTTCTGCAGGTGGGTCTAACAGCATTAGTTCTGTTCTGCAGGTGGGTCTAACGTAGCATTAGTTCTGTTCTGCAGGTGGGTCTAACGTACGGTTAGTCACTGTTCTGCAGGTGGGTCTAACATAGTGCTAGTCACTGTTCTGCAGGTGGGTCTAATGTAGCATTAGTTCTGTTCTGCAGGTGGGTCTAACGTAGCATTAGTTGTGTTCTGCAGGTGGGTCTAATGTACGGTTAGTCACTGTTCTGCAGGTGGGTCTAATGTAGCATTAGTGGCCGCCTCCCTTCTTCGTCCTTCATGATCAGATGCTGTTAGCATGTAACCCTTCAGCATCCTTTTCTTCCAACAAAAACATGACCAAATGGCATGTGACCCCGTGGCAAGCGTACCCACCTACCACTCGTGAGGTCTTGGGCTCCATCCCTAACATCACTGCACAATGGAAGCCAACAAAAAACATGGCCGTGTTTCTGAAAACACAAGTACTGCTACCATTCACGCCCTAAGCTATTTGAGTTGATTTTTCGTCTAGGTTATTTTTGCCCCACAATATATCAAATTGTTTTTATTAATCCTTATGAGTATTAACTTGAGGATAACCCTCATCTTATGCAACGCAGTGTACTTGTTTTGTTAAATACCATAATTAAGTTGTCTGTTGTTTTAGAGCACAAACGATTCTGGGATTCAGAAACAGCACTGCCGCTGGCTCCTGGTCACACACAGACCTTGTGTGAAAGATGATGTGGTAAGTTTTTAATGTTTAAAGGATAAAATTTAAGATCCATTGTTATATTAAATATGTACGGAAAGAATAGAAGATTAACATGTATTATTGTAATGGTTGAAGATGATGAAGCCTGGAGAGCTTTCACTCCATTGGCCCTGCTGGGCTGCAGGCGGCGGTGGTGTGGAGAGCTGGGCTGCAGGAGGTGATGTGGAGAGCTGGGCTGCAGGCGGTGGTGGTGTGGAGAGCTGGGCTGCAGGCGGTGGTGGTGTGGAGAGCTGGGCTGCAGGCGGCGGTGGTGTGAAGTGGCCGTGTGCCTGCAGCTCAGCAGAGCATGCCTCTGAGTCAGCAGCAGAGAGGCTGTAGGCATTTGACACATTGGATCCAAGTCTTCCAAGTCGGTTATTCAGTAACTTTGGCAACCTGGGACAAGTTACGGAAGGAGAAGAAGGGATTCACCCTCTCTGCATTGCTGGCTTCTGTGCCAGAAATAATGACACGTCGCGGATCGATTTCACAGCCTTCATGGCTGTGCTCAGTTGTCTGTTCTCTGAGACTGAAATCTTAGGTGAGCACATGAAAGGTTGTATCAGGCAGGTGTCTTTCCCTGCCCCATCCAATAAATAAACGTAAAGAACAGGCAGTGGTGGCGCACGCCTTTAATCCCAGCACTCGGGAGGCAGAGGCAGGCGGATCTCTGTGAGTTTGAGGCCAGCCTGGTCTACAGAGTGAGTTCCAGGACAGCATCCAAAGCAATATAGAGAAACCCTGTCTCAAAAAAAGAAAAAAGAAAAAAAAGAAGAAGAAGAATATAGTAATGTTTTCAATGGAAGAATGCCAAGAAAGCAGAGGAAACAGTTACTATAGACAATGTGTGCTCAGTGAGTGTGAGAGTTTCCAGGGATGCGGAGGGAAGGTCAGAGGGAAACAGTGGGCAGGGTGGGGCAGGGCGGAGCCTGACGCTGCCCTTTGGTTCATGCAGGTGGCAGCTCTGAAGGGTGCGACCAGCAATGCTGTCCTGAAGTTTGAACCATTTATCCTCCATGTGCAGTGCCGGACACTGCAGGACGCACAGACCCTGGTGAGGTTTCATGCCTGCTCTTGAATTTAGACATCTGCAGGTAAAATTAAGTTTAGGCCTTATGCCACCCTGTAAAATTACTGGGTTTTGGCTTATTCAGCTAATGTTTTGATTTAATTGTTTTCATCTGGTTGGTCAGTCTAGCTATTTATATTGAGCATTAAGAGCAGGGACTCCTGGTAGTCTCTGGGAAAGTAAAACACATACCCACACATGGCCACCATCTTCCTCAGCATCCCACATGTACATTTCACAGGCCCGTGTCTTTGGTTTCCTTGCCCAGTTTTAGGAGGACAGTCTGAGGGACTGCACGTTTGGTGTCTCTCTGTGCATTTTTATGCCTGTCACTGGCTTACATGCAGAGTTGTTTCATTACAAATATAATTTACCAAGAGCACTCGGTTCCTTGCATATCAGAGCAACTAAGGAGAGCTGTGTGCAGGCGCCTCTCACAAACCCCTCTGAGGAAAGCTCCTGGAGGTAAGACTGGAAAAGAATAGAAAAAATTAGGCCTATAGCAGATTCAGATTTCCTAATGCAGAATCTCAGAAGCAGACAGGGCTGGGTGTGTTCCCGGAGCCGAAGGAACAGGGCCTAGAAGGAAGAGAGAAAGATGGAGACCAGGAACCTGAGTCCTGTAGGCCAGAATGAGGAGGTCAGATTCCTGCTGTCAAGGGGGAGTTGCAAGGGGTTAGTGCAGTTGTGTTCTGAGAGCCCAATTCTGCCACAGTATAGTCAGGGTCTCCGTGGAGTGTGGTGGCCTGGCCTGAGGCGACACTAAAGAACATGAGAAGGTGACAGTCAGTTTTAGTTTTTGGTTTATCAGACAGGGATCTGATTTGTCAGGGATCAGACAGCCTGCTGGGAAATAGAAAAAGTGAAGGAGTAAGTCTTAGGTCTGGCCTAAGCACCTGCCAGCCAGGTGGTGTCTTAAAGGGGTTAGTGTAGGAAGCGAATAGCATGTCTGAGGCATGCATCTTAAATGCTGGACGCCTGTCTAGCAGGGATGCCATAATAAAATACCACATAGTAAGTGATCTGGAACAAAGGATGCTTTGTTTCTCCTGTGCTGGAGGTCAAAGGTCAGGGGTGGTTTCTCCTAAGATCTCTCCCTCTGCCTTACTTCCTGTGTCTCTCATGGCCTCTCCTCTGTGGGTGAACTCCACTAGGATCTCTCATGGGGACATCAGCCCTGCTGACTCAGGTTCGCAAGCTGGACACCTCGTTCTGCATTGCCAACACAAACAGTTTGGTCATGTGCTTTAGTGCGTGGTCTCTGGCCAGATGCCTGTTTTACCCTCTCTTGGTGACATCTCCGGAACTGCTCTTCAGGGATGTATAGCAGGCATTACGATGGGGCTCTAAGGCCACACAGTAGTGGTTTTGCAGTTACCTGTTCCCGCCACTTACGGGGCATAACTGGGGATCTGGCTAGCTGGCGTAACTTGGGGTGCTGTGTTTTCTTGCAGCATTCCGTGGCCATTGAGTCTGGTTTCAGGAACTCTGGCATCACAGTGGGGAAGCGAGGAAAGACCATGCTGGTAAGGTCGGGTGGCAAGAGCAGTTCTGTGGGTGTGGCATAAGGTCACTGGAGCTGCCTGTGGTCACTCCTGCTCTTTCTGTCCCTCCTCTGAAGGCCTCATGTTATCCGGTCCCCAGACCTTAGGTGGCAGGCTCTTCCCCCCCCCCCCCCCCAGAAAGTCCTGAATTTGGATTTATATTTGGGTCTGTTTCCTCTCCCCCCTTCTCTGCTTACTTTGAACCTGATTCTCTGCTCTCCTGGCTGCACCATGGGTCATCAAGGGATAATGGAATAAATGTGGTTGTGCCACATTGAGAGCCTCACGGGCATCAAGTCCTCCGTGTTGGTGACCTTGTGACCACAGCTGTGCTTTGTAATCTGAGTGAGTTGTTTAACACCGCTGTCTGCTCAGAGGTCCAGCAGACTCTTCCCTCCTGTTCACGACGGGGACAGCTTGTTTTGTGCCCACTTCCTCAGAAGCGAGTAGCAACAGACACTGCGTGTCACAGAAAAAGTCTGCCAGCCTCAATCTAGAAGGTCCCCTTTATAGATATAAATCCTATATCTTCTTTGTCTTTTCTGGCCAATCCAGTCCATAGTAATTTCCCCCTTTCTGATCTCCTGTTGTGTTCACTGTTTGTGCAGCACTCACTATATTTGAGCACGTCAAATTCCTGATATTCTAGCTCTCCTGACTCTATTTTTAACACATGGCTTATTTCCCCTATAGAGGTGGCTTACAAAGAACTTAGGAAACATCTACACAGTAAACCAAAGCCTTCGCTCCACAACGATTCTGGTCCCCAAGGGAAAGCGCAGACATTTCTTTACCTTTCTCTCCTTTGTCCCCCGTGTGCAGTTAGTCACTGGTCTGATCATGTCTGCCTCTGTGCCAGCCAGGCCCTGTGCCTGAGTCAGAGCTCAGCATGCATTTCCTCTTTCTGTGGTTGGTCGTGTCCTGTCGGCTGCCTTCCCCAGCCCTCCCTGACCTCTGTGTGTGTGTGTGTGTGTGTGTGTGTGTGTGTGTGTGTGTGTGTGTGTGTGTGTGTGTGTGTGTGCGCGCGCGCGCCATGCTATGAGCACTTTTCACTTGTGTTTGTGCGTGTGTGGATTCATGTGCTCTTTCTGTCATAACACTCGATTTGCATTGCAGTTCTGTGTGGTTGTCTCTCTTAGAGACAGAAACTATGTAGTTTTCTCTTTTCCGCTGGTCCCCCTGGACCGGTTTCTCTCCCACTCTTGGGTCCCTGCAGCCAGAGGCTGATACTAAGTGTAATTGTTTGGCCAGTGGCTCAGGCTTATTACTGGCTAGCTCTTTCTTATAAATTAACCCATTTTTAATGATCTGTGTATCACCTTGTGTCTGTGGCTTACCTCTTTGGCGGCTACATGGCTTCTCTGTGACTCTGTCTTCTTTCTCTCCCTAACTCTGTTTGGATTTCCCCTTGGCTCTGATCTGCCTGGCCATTGGTCAAAACAGCTTTATTCATCAACCAATAAAAGCAGCATATATTTGCAGCCTACAGAAGGACCTCCCACATTGGGAGCGAGGCTGTGTTCCTTTGGGGGTCGCCTCAGCTACAGAGAAGCTCAGTAAAGGCTCACTATGTGAATTTGTATTCTTCAGTACTGGTGGGTTTTGTAGGATTTTTGCTCTGTCCCGACCCTCTTCCCAGCTTTTGGATGCACAGGGGAATAGATATGCCGACTGTTTCCTCGACAGAGTTCCTAAGGTTGGCAGCCCGACTGTTGAGCAGGCAAACTTTATTAGATCACAGACAATATGTCACCACAGTGCTGCATTATGGAGGGAGCATGGCTTGCCCCTTGCCATAGTCAGCTCCAGAGACTCGGATTTTTCCTCGAGTCCTCTACGAATGGTTTGTTTCTTTCCTTTAAACCATGGGCTGAAGCTTTCTTAGCTGTAGTGGGATTGAAACTGTTCAGAGTTATTGAATTCGTTGCTATTACCCGATTCCCTGAAAAAAGATGTATAGATGCCCTTCTGGAGAAGACACTGCAGGTGATAAGAAATCTGTTTCATCTCTTTTGATTTGTTTGAGTTTAACTAAATTATGTCACATCAAGGGCCTCCATGCCCTAATGGGCGTTAACTGAGCCCTGTCTCAGACCTCTCTCTCTCTCTCTCTCCCTGGGCTCTGTTCTTCATGTCTATGCTGCTTTCTCTTCTAGGCTGTCCGGAGTACACATGGATTAGAAGTCCCCTTAAGCCATAAGGGAAAACTGATGGTGACAGAGGAATATATTGAGTTCCTGTTAACTATAGCAAATCAGAAAATGGAGGAAAACAAGAAAAGAATCGAAAGGTAAGATAATGATTTATTTCTATGTTATTCATATATGCCTATGTCATTCTTGAAAAACAAGTTTGTAATCCGAACTGCTTGTGCAGTTGTATACCTCCTGTGGAAAGAAAGATGCTTGAGGCCATCAGTGTGGCTGGAGCATGCTGTTGATGGATACTCCAAAATTGCAAAGGAGGCTTTGCAGAGACAGCTAGACGTGACCACCAGGACACTACTACAGAGAGAGTGACCAACCATTTGGGAACGTCTCCAACAGCTGTAGGAACACACTGAAGGGAAGTTGCGCACACTGCATCTTAGACCCTGGGATAGTTCAGCAGGCAGCGGTTGCCATAGAGCCAACATGGAATTGTGTCATAGGGAGGAAGACTGGGTTTCCATTCACATCTCTCTGTTCTTGCTCCTCCACTGTACCATCTGGCAAATGGGCTAATGCACAGCTCCATTTTAGCAGGGTTTTCTGTGAACACTGCCTGCCATGTGGGCAAACTGCGCCTCTGGATCCTCCAGTGAGGGTGTACATGTGTGTTTTGGCGTTTGAGGGCTTTGTGTGTGTGTGTGTGTGTGTGTGTGTGTGTGTGTGTGTGTGTGTGTGTGTGTGTGTGTGTATGTATGTACCAAAGCATGCTGTGGTGGAGGTCAGATGACAACTTTGTGGGTTACGTGGGTTTCAGAGACTAAGTTCGGACCATCAGATGTGTGTGGCAGGTGCTTTTACCCGTGAGCTGTCTCCCTGTAGCTCACCAGCCCAAGCTGTACATTTCCAGGTTACAGAGTGATGGGCATTTTGACCTTGTTTGTAATTTCCCTGTCTCCCATCCCATCACTGCCTAAATATCTCTTCATTCACTTTTCTTTCCATCTTCATTGCCTCTGTATTTATTCAAGACCTGTGCAGCCCCCATGCCCCAGACCTGATCTCAGAACGAGACACAGGATATCTGTCTCTCATGTCAGTTTTGGTGTCAACGTCGTGTCCATACACTGCAAAAGAGACCCATGCCTGAACCCCTTAACTACCTAGAGATTTCCACCTGCAGCTAAGACAGAAGGGGCCAGTGATAGCAGTGGGATCTAGTCCCCACAGCGGCCTGGGTTCTCCCCCATCCATGCCACCAAGTTCCTCCACTCAGTCACTCAGTTCTACCAAGTCACTGTCTTTTTTTTTTTTTTTTTTTTTTGATTGTGTCATCTCTAACCTGGGGAAATGCTAGCTCAGAGAACCGTTTCTGATATCATTGAACAGCGTGTGCTTTGTGGCAGGCCTTGCTCGGTGACTCTTGTGGGCTTTCAAGACAGGAGAGCCCTTCTCTTCATCTCCACCTGGAAGCATAGAATTCCTAGAATTAATGAAGCTTCCCCTGGAGAGCTGTGTGACCTATGCCAGACGAGACGCAGGGACAGAGGCCGATTCTTCACACACAGTGGCTATCTCAGAGCATTGTCGTAGGCAGATACTTGTTTAGAAAAATTGCTCATAAACCCTGGCCGCAGAGTATGGACGTTCTAACCAAAGTGAATCTTTCAGCTAGTCACCTGACACATACCACCAGACTGCAGACAAGAACTGTACACAGATGCTTACGGCCAACAAAGTTTAATGTCTGTAGGCGGCGCTCCCCTGGGGCTGTTTGTGCAGACACAAGAAGTGATGGCTCAGTTTCTCTATATTCTGCACTGAATTTCAACAAGATTATAAATATAGCCCAAGACCAACTAACTATACACCTGGGGAAGTTAATTGAGCCATGCTCACCAACCATAAAATCAAATTATGAGTTGAATCCGTTGACTCAAAAATGTATTTTGAGATGATAGTCTGCGTGCCGCTATCAAGAGAGCTAGACTCATCATATAAAATCAGTGAAAAATTAAAGAAGGGTAAAAAGTGTCTTAAGATCCTGATTACAAGATTACGTGTGAATTCAGAGCATGTGAGTAAATTAGGGTGCTCCCCTGGGAGCTATCTGCACATCAGCCAGATGCAGCGACAGAACGCCGGTCTTAGAAGAAGAAAGGCCGTCAAATCAACACCAGTGGGTGAGCATGGGGGCAGGGACAAGTCATCATGGTTCAGATAGCTACAAGAGTCTCATCTCACCACATAGTTAGGAGCTAAGTACTTAAAAATATTTTGTGTGTATTGTTAGATGTGTGCATACATACATGTGGGTTTGACATATGTGTACATGGCATGCTCATGTGTCAGTGTGCATACATTTGCATGAGTGTGATGTCTGTTTGGTCACGTGTGCACACATGTATGAATGAGAGTAGTATGTGTAGTGTGCAGATATGTACATTTTGTGTGATAGGTATGTCTATGATGTGTGTACAAGCTTGTCTGTGTATGTGTGATATGTGTGTATGTGTAGTATCTGCACATATGATCAGGTGTGCCTATGTATGTGTGGTATATGTGTGTGTAGCATCTGCACATGTGTACAAGTGTGCCTGTGTGTGTATGGTATCTCCACATGTGTGCCGGTGTGCCTGTGTATGTGTGTGGTATCTGCACATGTGTGCAAGCATGCGTATGTATGTGAAGTCTTGTGTCCTGCTCTCTCACTGTCTGCCTTGGAACAGGGTCTCTCACTGAACCTGGGGCTGGGATGGGGACAGACAGCCCTAGCTGCCCTCCAGCCTCTGCTTCTCACGGGGCTGCTGCAGGCTCACAGACAGTTGCGAGCCTTTGATGTGGGTGCTGGGATCTGAACTCAGGCCTTGATGCTTTTGCACTGTTACTCGTGAGCCATCTCCTCAAACCCTAAAACACTTTTAATAGAGAAAAGGTCATGGTCATGTTTGTGAAAAATAGCTCCCATGCCTGCTTCTCTGTGGGGACTCAGCCGGCAGAACAGCCGAGAGCCTGTGGCATCTGGAGGCTGGAAGAGACAGGGACCAACAGACACCAAAAACTGTTTCAAACATAATGATTTCCAGGTGGAAAACTCCAAGTTTGTAGATCTGCCTCCGGAGGGGTCTCTGTCTGTTAACACCAGGTCTGGACCTGGGTCCGACGAAGCCATGTAGCCCTGACTAGAAAGAAGTTACCCATGCTCTTCTTTTCGTCAACTGTGTAATAACATATTAAATGAAACAGAATAAAGGGCTGAATATATTGGCATATAATATTATTAAGAATAAAGAAATCAGAAAGGCAAAGTAATTGAATCTGTTTCCAGTGGTTGATTTTTTTTTAATCTTTTTTACTGTGGTAAAATATGTGTAACAGAAATTTCCCATTTTAACCAATGGCGTTGTGTGCATCCGCACCATTAGAAACTGTCACCACCATCCATCTCCAGACTTTCATCGTCGTAAACAGAAGCTGTGTCCACTGAGCACGGCCTCCCTCTCTATCCTGCAGCTGCTCTGAGCATGCCGTTTTCTGTGTGTGAGCTTGGCTAGTCTACCACTTGGTTGTGCAATCTGTCCTTTGTTATTCTACTGCCTTAAGTTGTGGTGGTGATTTTGTTTGTCACAGTACTGGGTATTGAACCTGAGGCCTTGTGCATGCTTTATAAGAGGCCTACCACTGAGCTACATTCCCTGATCAGCCAACCCTAGGGGCTCTACTGTACTGTCCCATGCATCAGTCACTACTCCTTTTCAGACTGGTAACCTCCATTGTGCTTATGGGCCACATTTAGTTTCCCTGTTGTTGCTGGGGACTTTTTGTGTGTTTTCACCCCGGGACCACCCATGGAGTAGTCCATTGAGTTTTCTGGCCTACTCAACTCAGAGGAGATAGAAGGGCACAGTGAACAAGGCTGAAGAGATGCGTGGTCTTTTTTGATAGGAAAGGTGGAGAAGTGATCTTTGCTCCTCCATCACTCCGTGGATCTAACATTTGACTCCCAAGCTTTATTGAATAATAAAGCATTAGAAGAAGCCACAATACCCTGCAATCTGTTGACAGACAGTTGCTTACAGCTTTCACCTGTGGGGAATGTCGCTGCCCCGAGGACTGGCCTCCAAACACACACTCATCTCCCCTCAGTTCTCTTGGGTATGCACTCAGAACTGGAATAGCGTAGTAAGTCCACATTTAACTTCCTGAGGAGCCACACCCCGCCATCCATGCCATCCATGCCACGCCCCGCCATCCACAGCAGCTGCACCGTCTTGCTTCGTCACCAGCCGTGAGAACTCCAAGCTCCGTCCTTGCCAACAGCAGCAGGGTAGTGTGCGGAGACGCCTCAGTAGACTCTCAGCTTGTGTTCTCTGGCGTTTCGTGATATTCAGCACATGCCGTATATCTGTCATCTTTACTCGCGTCTGCTCAAGTCCTTGTCCAAGTCTTAATTGGATTGTTGTTTTCCCCCGAGTTGTAGGATTTCCTCTGTGTGCTGGATGCTCAGCAGATGTGTGATTGGCAGGTCCTGCGGGCTTCCTTTTCACTATCAGCAGTGTGTTTACATGAGTTTTAGATCCTTATGAAGCTATTTGTCTGATTTTCTTTTGTTGCCTGTTTTTGGTACTAAGCCCAAGAAAGAAACCATTGCCAAATTCGGTCTGGTGACGTTTCCCTATTTTGTTGTTGTTTGTTTGAGTTCTTGTATTTAAGTCTCTGCGGGTATTTGCTGTAACTAGCAGGTGCTCTCAACACCGGTAAGTGACTGAGTAAGTCAAGCGTTGCTAAACTTTTCTGGCCGTCCTTTTGTCCGCTGCCGCTCCCATCTCTGCTCCACATCAGACGAAAACTGCACAGCTAACCCATCCCAGCGCTGACCTCAGTCTCTCCTAGGTTAGACAGTGTGGTTCTTGTCACTAGGACGCCAGAAATTAACAGTGTCCCATGTATTGTCATAAAAGAAGTAGACTGGGTGAGGATGGCTATCTACGTATGCATTCTTACAGAAAGCACTCGCGTAGACACCCGTGAACTGCGAAGGACTGCTCAGCGCTGTGGTTGAGAAATGAGGCCAGGGTAGAGCCTTAGCTTTTGCAGCAGCGCAGCTGGGCATTCTGATGGGCACCGAGGAACTGCAGCTCTGTCCAAGGAATGGTGAATGCCCAAGACGGGCCTGGGAGTCACCGAGTCTCCAAGAGGAGGTGCTGTTAAAGTCACCAGAGCAGTTAGAAGTGTGGTGCAGGGAACCTCTGCCAGGCCCTGGGGCAAGGCTTCTAAGAAGATCCCTGTGGTGGAAGGAGCTGAAGGAGAGAAGGGGGCTTGCCTCATGCAGAGACGGGAACAGCACTGGACCAGATGGGTCTCTCTTAAAGAGAGAAAACACATTTTTATAGTGATGAAGGCAAAGAAAGATTTAACTATTTGACTTTATGATTTGTAAGGCTAGGACACGACACCATCAAGCATAAAAAATAGATCAGTTCTAGGTGTGTTTCAGTCATTCACTTTCAGAATGCCCATATATGTAACCATATATTTAATTATTTACAGGTTTTATAGCTGCCTACAACATGCTCTGGAGAGAAAAGCCACTTCCAGCTCACATTCTGAGATCCAAGAGAAAAACAACGCACTCTGTACTCATAAGACTAACAGGAACCAAGGAAAAGCTCGTGACCCATCTGTCACTGAAGACTATGAGAAGGAGCTGGAAGGCGACGATGGCCTGGGGATCAGTGCTGCATTCCTCTTGGAGGATGACTAAGGTCCGGCACTGTTCGTGTCCGACACACTGTAAAGCTGCTCTTCACAAGAGTGCCATGGTCTGTATCAGCCCTGCAGGGGCAGAGTCAGTTTCTCTGGCCTAGAGAAACTCTTACGTGTAAATCGCTTTGCAAAGTAGCTTTGTGTGTATTTGCTCTTTGAATTTTGTTTTGTTTTGTTTTGTTTTAAAGCATTCCACAAATAAACTTACAGATTTTAATGCCTGTCTTTTTGGTTCCTGTGTTTGTTTCTGTGAAGTGGGAAAAGCAAGACTAATTCCCTCCCGAGGCAGTGTCGGCAGCGTGAGCCTTGCAGTGGGAACCGTAGAACGACCTCTCCTGAACTCCAGCTTATGTAATGTGAAGGTCTGAGTTTGCATTTCTTGCCGTGAAAAAGTGTTTCCTCCCCACTTGGTCTTGTGGATAAAAATGGCCAATGTTGTTCAGGGAAACACCTGAGCCTTCTTTCTGCTTTGTCATCACCAGAGCTTGCTCCTGGTGGCCCATGAGACACATGGGGGTAACTTTTTCTAGCCTCGCTTGGAAATGAGCACTGAGATGCAGATACCCTGTAAAACAGAACAAGTGTGCTAAAACAGCTTGCTGACTCAGAAGCCCTGGGCGTGAGCTCTGCTGTCAGAGGTCCTAATCAGCTCCTTGGGTTTCCATTTCTTCTGCACAACAGAAATTCCAACTCCTGCTGTATTCACACTTCAGTGCGACTGGGTCAGATTGGAAGTGGGAGAACATTGACCAGCGGAGTCCACTGTAGTGTTACGACGTATGCTCATTAAAAAGGAAGGTGACTTCATACACACTTTCAAATATACCAGTCAAAAAGATGACACTCGGCCATCACAACCGGAGCATGATGGCAGCAGAGAGCATCTCCAGGAAAAGATAACACTCGGCCATCACATGGCAGCAGAGAGCATCTCCAGGAAAAGATGACACTCATGCCATCACAACCGGAGCACGGTGGCAGCAGGGAGCATCTCCAGGAAAAGATAACACTCGGCCATCACAACCGGAGCACGGTGGCAGCAGGGAGCATCTCCAGGAAAAGATGACACTCGGCCATCACAACCGGAGCACGGTGGCAGCAGGGAGCATCTCCAGGAAAAGATAACACTCGGCCATCACAACTGGAGCACAGTGGCAGTAGAGAGATCTCCAGGAAAAGATGACACTCGGCCATCACAACTGGAGCACGGTGGCAGCAGAGAGCATCTCCAGGTTTGACAGCAGTGACGGAGGCAGTCACACTCCATGCATAGTCAGGAAGCAGAGAGAGGTGGTCACAGGTGCTTGGCTCCGTTCTCTTTATTCAGTCTGGGACTCCAGCCCGTGGGATGAGCCACCCACATCAGGGTGGATCTCCCCTCCTCAGTTAAACGTCTCCGAAAACTCAAGGACACCAGAGGTTTGCCTCCTGAGTGATCTTGAGTCTCCTCCAAGTGACAAAACTGTCATCACAAGTCTAACCTTTGTCTATCTGATGCCCCAAGCACGTTACCTTTATCCTTTTATTAAGATCGATTTTATTATTTTTAGTTGTATGTATGAGTGCGGATTTGCATACATGAGCACAGTTGCCCATGGAGGCCAGAGGTTTCAGATACCCTGGAGCAGGCAACCGTAACACAAACACATCTGGTACATCATAGGTGATTCCAGATGCTGGCACACTGACAATGAAGGTCAATGAAGGTTAACCATAATAGTCATCTTTATTATGTATATACATATATACATATATATGAATCTAATAAAATCAGCTCAGCACTTTGGTCACTCACTCCCTTACTCAAGACAGCATGAAAGCAAGCCGCACGGTCAGAGGCTGACAGACCTGTAGATTTCTGTGTGTTCACTGGGTGAGCAGGGGGGTCTGGTACTGTCCACCATCTTTATACTGCTCACTGCTGGGGTTTCACTCTGGCACCATGTGCCGCTATGGGAGTTGACCCTTGCACTGTCATGACACTCCTGAAACTGTGCAGCTGTGCACGTGTGTGTGTGCATGTGTGTGTGTGTGTGTGTGTGTGTGTGTGTGTGTGTGTGTGTGTGTGTGTGTGTGTGTGTGTGTACAGTTTCCCTGCCAGGTAGGGAATTGAGGCAGGGAAAGGAAACTTAGTTCAAGCACGTCTGGGGCATGTCTTACTGAATAAAATCGGGATGATCCGCCAGGCACGTGGGTAGAAGGAGGGACGAAAAGTAATCAGGGGCCACCCTGAGGCAGGGCACCTGAGCTGCAATGATACACACCGCAGGTTTCAGCCTCTGAACTAGAAGGAAGTTCCCGCTTCCCCAGGCTGGGGCAGCCACTTGCTCCCAAGGCTTGAACCCTCTGCACCATGCAAGGAACGAGCTAGTATCTAAGAGGAAGAGACACAAATGTCAGGCCTGCTGAGACACAAGGAGGGGGCAGGTTGTGCTTGTGGTTCTGAAGTTCTAAACCAGCGAGCGACCCTAAGTTCTCAGCCATGTTGCGGCCAAGCTAACGTGGATTTGTAGACTGCTTCTGTCCTTTCGTATCCCTGTCCTTGATAACGGCTGGTGCTCAACAAACGCCTTGCTTTGATAAATGTTTTGTGGCCGGGCGGTGGTGGTGCACGGCGCATGCCTTTAATCCCAGCACTCGGGAGGCAGAGGCAGGCGGATCTCTGTGAGTTCGAGGCCGGGCTGGACCGTCAGCCTCCAAAACAATACAGAGAAACCCTGCCTTGTAAAACCAATAAATAAATAAATAAATGTTTTGTGTGGATGATTATTCAGAAGCATTATTTAGTTTATTATTTAGAAACTCAAGTTTGATAATGTGGTTAATAAAATTAAAGCCCTGAGCTGATCTGACAAGGTACAAGGTCACTTGTTTGCTGCGTAATATTAGCTCGCATCTGTCTTCAACTGAGCGTGCAATCTCCTTGAACCCTTGGTCCCTGGCTGCCCAGGCACTGAGGAGGACATAGACCTTTAGGCATCGGAGCCATGCTGGAAGAAGTGGACTATTTTAAAGGAGGATTTATAGATCACAGTCAGGCCCTGGTTCCCACCCAAGTCCTCTACCCACAGCTTCAAAGCCTGCCATCGTGAAGTCTGCCAGGCTTCACCATGGTAGGCTGTATCACCTCAGACTATGAGCCACAAAGTTCCTTCCTCCCTCAGGCCCTGGCTTCAGGCATCTTATCAGAGTGCCAAGAAAATAATAACCACTTTCCTGACAAAATGACAAAACGTCCCAGACCCTAGAATTCTAAGCTGTGCTTTGTAACTTAACGTGACGTGGCCTTTCTGATTTTTCTTTTTTCAGCAGTCATTTTTACCTTTTTTTTTTTTTTTTGTACTGAGATACTTTCAAAACTGAAGAAAAGCAATGGTCATGAAGAATCTGCATACACCCCACCCAGGCTGACTCTGCCCCCTCTTCCCATGAGTATATAGACAGCGCACGCACGCACACGCATAATCAAGTGTGTGTAAACATCTCGGAATATTTCCCAGATAGACGGCTCTTCTTGAGGTAGGACCTCGGGTATCTCCAAGCTCTCCTCCTTGGGTTCAACACATAGCTGTTGGTGACCTTGGCTTCTTTTTTCCCCCGTCTCCCCTCTCTGAGTGCTGGGTGGAAACTCTGTGCCGCGACACCTGACTTATATGGTTCTGAGTATTAAAACCCTGGCCTCGTGTGTGCTAGGCAAGCACTCTGCCAGCTAAGCCACATACCCAGCCTTTTTATTAATTAACTTTATATTTTATATCCCAACCGTAGTTTCCCCTCCCTCCCCTCCCCCCCCCCCCACTGCCTACCCCAACTTCCTTTTTGCCCCTTCCTGTCCGCTCCCCCCTCGGTTTCCATTCAGAAAGTTCCAGACCTCCCAAGGATACCAACAAAATAGGACTAAGCCACTCTGCTTGTATTAAGTCTAGGCAAGGCAACCCAGAATGGGGAGCAGGTTCCCAAAAGCCAGACAAAGCATTAGGGACAGCCCGTGCTCCCACCACGAGGAGTCCCACAAGCAGACCAAGCTACACAGCTGTCACACATACGTAGAGGGTCTAGGTCAGTCCCATGCAGGCTCCCTGGTTGTCCGTCCAGACCGTGAGCTCCTATGAGCCCAGGTGAGTTGTTTCTGGGGTTCCCTTGTGATGCCCTCAACCCCTCTGGCTCGTACAATCCTCCCTCCCTCTCTTCAGCGGGATTCCCCGAGCCCACCCTAATGTTTGTTTGTCTGTGGATCGCTGCGTCTGTTTCCATTGGCTACTGGATGAGGGCTCTCTTATGATAATTGTGGTTGGCACCAATCCCAGCACGTCCCACAGGTAGGGCAGACTGTAGGTCACAGGTTATGTGGCTGGGCTGGTGTCCCAGCCCCTCCACTGGAAGTCTCTGGATTGGTCACAGGAGACACACAGTTCGGGCTGTGTGTCCGCTATTGCTGGTAGTCTCAGCTGGGGTCACTGTCGTAGATTCCTGGAAGTCTCCCTTGCCACAGGTTTCTACCCGGCCCTGAATTACACCCCATTTCCAGTCTCGCGGCACTCCCCGCTGGCTCCCTTGTGTGTCCCATCACACCTGCCCCCAGTCCACCCACGAGATCCCTTCTGCCTTCCCCTTCCTGGGGGATCAAGTATCTCCCCCCACACACACACTTGGGCCCTCGTTGTGGCCCAGCCTCTCTAGGCCTGCGAATTGTAGCATGGACGTCTTTGACAGCTAATATCCACTTGTAAGTGAGTATAAACCGTGTTCATCTTTCCCGGTCTGGGTTACCTCACTCACGTGGATGGTCAACGACTCACACTAAGAATGCCGGTCACAGGTAGTGGGGTATTTATTTAGATAGAGAGAATTAACTTACACGGGAAGCTGGGAAACTCTCCGAAACATGGCCAGCATCCAAGAAGAGAGCACGAGGCGGCCCCCTCTCTCTCTATTTATCTCCTCTCCCTCACATACTGTAGCCACGCCCATTGGGGCGTGGCTAAAGCTACAGGTACATCTCTCCCTACACACTCAGGATGATTTTTCTTCTAGTTCCATCCATTTGCCTTCGAATTTCCTCATGTCATTGTTTTATTACAGGTGAGCAATACTCCACTGTGTAAATGGACCACATTTTCTTTATCCATTCTTTGGTTGAGGGGCATCTAGGATGTTTCCAGGTTCTGGCTGTTACAAATAAAGCCTAGGGTTTTTTGTTATTTTTGGGTTTTTTTG